GGATGCCTCAAACTCTAGATTTACTCTGCGGTTTGAGACTGGAGCTTAAGAGCCGTGATTTGAGATGTAGGCTTCAGGTACTGTAGTATTGCGCACTAGCAAGGCGCAATCCGATCGAAGCCATTATCGATGTACTACATATATATATATATATATATATATATATATGGATGTATGTATTTATGCACTATATACTACGTCGAGTAAACTTTCGTATTTTGGTTACATGGCATCTTTATCCGCAAGGCTACATTCACCCCACGCCTCAGATGCTACTACAGGCCTGCCTGAGGACTCGATTCCTCGTCAATCTTCGGGCTCTTCAACTCCTGCAGGGTGATCCACAGGTTTGTACGGAACTTCAGTTTTGAGCTCAACTAGTAGCTAGCAGAACAGCTTTGTGCTTTTCATCAGCGATCATGCCGCTTTTTATCCGGTCGAGCGATGGCCAGTGGCAAGTGAAAGCAGTGGGCATTTCTGCGTGCAACCTGAAACCCTAAACCCTAAAACCCTAAAGCCCTGAACCCTAAAACGCGCCAAAGCAAACACATGGCGCCCAATCTGCTGGGAAGTATACTCTGTGTCCCGTCACGTCACGACACCGCAACATGCTGCACATCACTGTTTGCATGGCAACGTTCACTCGACCGCCTGCTAAATACACCTGATAGAAATGCTGCATGAATTCGCAGGTGGAGTCATCACCTACCTACTTTACACAGTGTAGCCACCACAGCATCCATTCCAGAAGCAAGAAAGCTGCGAAATAGGGCCCGCTGCGCCATCTGCCGTGACTGTGCCACGGCCAGTGTTACAGGCACAAAGCACAACAAGCTCAGCTGACAAGCGCAAATGCTTATCGGGGCTCCTTATAACAACACGCTGAACCGCAATCCTGAATCAGGACTCTTTACGTGCGTGAGCATTTCGGCTGGCGCCTCGCGTGATTTCTCGGCTACAGGCCTTGGAACAGGGGCAACTTTCGTTTCAGGGCCTTTGGGTGGGGGGTTTGGATGTCTCAACCCTGCAAACCGTGTCAACCTTGAAACCTGACGGGTCCGGGTTTTTTTGGGTCGTACATCTAAATTTATCTTACTAACAGTCTACTTACTAAGTCCCCGAATGTACCTACTATGTGGTTAGAACAGCTCAATATAACTGAGGGGTAATAATAACCTGCCCTGACTATGACTACAGGATAATGAGAGGATTTAGGAGGTTAAACTAAACACCTACTCCGACTGTATTCTGTGATTTGGAGTTTACGGCAGCGTTTATGGGGGCTTGGGGTGTGCACTCTTCCTCGAAGCGGCCCAAGACAAGGGAGTCTCGGCTAAGGCATATTGGATTCCCTGCTAAAACCTGAAACCCCTTTTGCTGCCCATGCGGCCCTGTATAGATTTGCGAAGATACCCCAAGCTCTCAACCCGCCAACTTACACCCTCAACCCTCAAGCCACAAATTGCAATAATGCCTTATATAGCCCATATTCAGCCACTTCCCTACACTGAAAAGCCCTTGATCTAAGGGGTTGGAATCCTCCTGCCCTGAGTTGTGCGTGAGGGTTTCGCTTTTCACGATTTTCAGGCTCGACGTGGGGGTTTCCGAAAATAGGGGACCTAATATAGTACCCTAAATTTTCCTAAATAGTAGGACCCTTATTATAAGCTATAAGGTACCCCTCATTCTCGGAAACTCCCACATGGAGGCTTTGGCAAATGTGGGCTTTGACTATAGCTACCGTCACCTACATCCCCACGTATAGCTACCCATGACCCTAAACCCTAAACCCTAACCGCCAAGTCGGGTTTGCAGAGTTCAGGGCGTTGGGGTCTAGCCTTGAGGGCATGGGTCGAATATAGGGGCCGTAGGAAGCAGAAAAGGGTTCTGAAGTACATCTATGTGTGTATATATATATATATACACGTACACATACACATCTAGTTCTATGTGGGCAGTTCTCGAAAATAGGATAAGTAAGTAGGTTCCCTTTTATAGTACAGCGCCCTTATAAACATTCAAAAACCTGCAAGGGACGCTGATGTAGAGAACTGCCCAGGTAAGGGAAGTATACTGGGGTAATATTAGGAACTGTTCCGATCTCTGTGTCAGTTTGCTTTACGGTTTGGTGCTTAGGCGTCAAAAGATTAGACCTATAGTCTCCATGGCACTGCACTCACTGTGGGTTACATGTTTTCAAATACAGACTCATGGAATCCTGCTCATGAACTTTGGAATCAAGAAGGAAATATGGAGGAAACTTTGAGCAGGGTTTACGGATTCGGCAGCCAAGTGGCATTCCCTTCCGCACTTTCGGCGCCATTGCCCGACCAATGAACACGCAGCAACGACTGCCCGACGTCCTCAGTTCGGTCAGAGTGGGCTGCATCTAGGGTAAGAAGGGGTTTGAAAGGGTCCGTACAGGTGTTCGAAGTTAAGTTTACACTCCAGTCTATCCTTCGTGCTCTGGACTTCTAACCCAAAATCCCAAGCCCTAAACATTAACCCCTAGACCACGTGTTGGTCCACGGGTGCTGTGGTCGTCCGTATTCAGGCCAGTTGTCTTCGCACTCCACTGCCTCATAGGTCAAAGTTCGGATCGTATATAAGTATAGTGTAGTAGAGTATAGTAGAATACACCCCGAGCCCTGTTCTATTCTAATTCTTAAGGCGCCGATAGGGGGATACCAGCAAATCCGTAACCAAATGAGAAGTACGCATACCTTTAGAATTATGCATATAGATGGAGATATCACGAAGGAGAGCGAGAGAGAGAGACAGAGAGAGAGAGAGATATATATATCTATATATATATAGATAGAGCAAACAAAAGAGAGAGCGAGAGAGGGAACGCAAAGCGATGGAGAAAGTGTGTTTTCGCGTGCGTAACCAAGAACCCAGCAGAAGGTCAGTGCTTTCGGGCTGGCGGTTCAATGCAAGAGTTTTTGAGATCGCTTTTGGCTCGAGGCACCTCTGTCTCGGGTGTAGGTGGCCAGGACATGGGTGTGAGAGGGTTGAGCTGATTTAAGACCTTTACTAATGAAGTTGAAGGCATAGGATTTCGATAGCTTCGAAAGCTAAAGAACCACCCTGAACCCCAGCTGCAGATACTCTGTCGCCCAAGGCTCCGTAGTATACTGCCGCGCCCGTGTCGCACACTTTGGCGGATGTTTGGGCAGTGGAAGATCAGAGCGAAGGTTCAAGCTGTGTTGATTATCCAGCTGTGTGCGTGATAACCGCAAAAGTTAGACCAAGTAGTGGGACGCGTCGAATCCGTAAGCTTAAACTTCAACAGCAAGAAGCGATACTTAAGCTATCCAAGGCTCATCACGATTCATTTCTCGACGGTCTTTCCGAGTAGCTTATATAGCTGACTTAGTTCCATCATTGACTTTCCCTTAGCTTTCTGGCCCGGCTTCTCTCCAACATAGAACTTTTCGGGACCCTGCACAGCAAGCACAAAAAGACATGCTCATACTATCTACAGCTCCCGAAACCGAAACACTAAGACCATTTAAAGACTTACGGGGGCCCTGATTTCGAGAACCCCGGCTACCAGAACTGCTCTGAGGCGGCGGGCTGGCAAGCAGATATTTGGAGTGTTGTTGAGGTCCAGGGCAAGTAGGGTTTGGGGCTTTAGGGTTGATGGTTTAGGGTTTGGGGCTTTAGGGTTGATGGTTTAGGGTTTGGGGCTTTAGGGTTGATGGTTTAGGGTTTGGGGTTTAAATGTTTAGGATTGATGGTTTGAGGTCTAGGGTAATTAGGGTTTGGGGCTTTAGGGGTAATGGTTTAGGGTTTAGGGTTGATGGTTTGGGGGTTCGGGTTTTCAGGGTGTAGGCTTGTTGCTGAGGGTGTTTAGGTTGAGGAGTGCATGGTATAAACCGGGGCGGGGGGGGGGGGGAGTGAGTCGGGGTGATATAAGTTCTGGGGTGATCAAGTTCTCGGCTTTAGAGTTTGAGGTTAGGCTATAGGCGTAGGTGCCTGATGCTGACTACTAGTGACATACACCCTGCTGCCCTGAAACCTGAAACAAGAAAGCCTCAGACCTCTCAGGTTTAGGGCACCGGACTTCTATAGCGATGTAAGCTTACCTGTGCCCTGGCTTGTAGCCTTTCCTCCACACGAAAGGATCCCGAAGGGTGCCTCTACTTTCACTTGCAGTTTGATCTCATGAAAGGATCAGAAGCATGTTCATGGTTTACTGGGGAGCACTGCACAACTTTGATTCAACCCTCCAGCGCAGATTTTTTGTCTTCTGGTCTTGCGACACGGGCCGGATGCTGCCTGAGGCCAGAGGCGTGCCTCGCAGTATTCGCGCCCGAGTATTTGCGACTTTTCGAAGTCTCATGCGGCTTGAGTGTTAAGACTTTAGGGCTTTAGGGGTTTTGGGCTATGGTTTAGGTTCGAGGATGTACTGTACGGTTTAGGGTTTAGCCCCCTGAGACGGGCCCCGCGTTCTGCCAGTGTGTTGAAATGGGTGGTCCCAACGCACAGCGCCGTCGGACTCTGGTTTGTCAGCTTTAGAGTTCAGGGTTTATAGGGCTTAGGGTTTAGCGCTAGACCATATCATTTCCTAATCCCACGGGTTCTGAACCCAAAACCTTAGTCCCTGAATCACCCACTTGCGTCATTCAGATACTTTCCTCATGATAAGGAAACCTTTTATCATGAAGAACCTACACATGTAGGTCCGTCTCTTGGGGTCCAGGTTTGCGTTCAGGGGCTCGTGGGATCTACTATATTCGGGCTCGAACAAGAGGGGACCTCTAAATCCTAAACTTGCACAAACATGTACGTAGAGGGTTTTAATTTATGTTAGAATGAGGGCTTGTTATTCTGGGCTCTTGTTCAGGCGCTATAACTTTCGTTTTCATAGTAAGGATCTATAGTATATGTATGGTTTGCTTATTATGGTACTTAACTAAAACTCCTAAACCCTAAAGCCCCAACTCCCAAGCCCTCGAAACCCTAAACCCTATGTCCTGGCAGACGGCCAAGAGCTAGCCGAGCTTTTGCGACCTCGGCTCAGGTTTGTTTAGGGTTTAAGAGTTTAGGGTTTAGGGCTTAGAAGCCCCAACTCCAGGGTTGAGGGTGTAGTGTTCAGGGCGCACCACGGGGCTTTAGGAGCTTAAGCTTTAGGGTTTCCCCAAGGGTCCAAAGGACCCAATAATTAGGTACTCGGTTTTAGGATAGTAGTTCTGTAGGTTAGGATTTTGGAGAGTATATGATTCTTAGATACTTACCCAGAGACTCCAATACCCCTTAATTAAGGTCCCAGCCACCAAAAAAAACACCGCATCGAACCATGAGCCCTGATGATGATGATGATGATGATGGGGAACCTCAAAATGTAGGATTCCTGAAGCCCCAACGAGACCCAAGGGCTCTTCCTAGGAGATTCCGGACCCTCCCAAGGAGATACCTGGACCCTTTGGGTAGGGCTTTTCTTTAGGGCTTAGAAGGGTTTAGGGTTTAGGGTTTGGGGTCCCTTTTAAGGAACCCTATAGATCCCTATAAGGACCCCTTAAAGGAACCATACTTCCTAAGGGGTATTGGAGTCTCTGGGTAGACCCTTCGGGCTTTTCTTTAGGGCTTAGAAGGTCGACTTTCGGGTGGAGTTTCCGCTCTTGGGCTCGAAGCTTCTAGGGTGGAGGTTTCGGAGGTAGAAAATGGGATCGCTGCCATTTGTACTTAAAAGGCTCATGGGACTTAGTAAGGTTATAAGTAGGTTATAATTAAGATAACCCCACTTAGGGGACTTATAACCCCAATTATAGCCCACTTACTAAGTCCCATGATCCTCTAAGTAGGGCCTTCTCAGGAATTGTATCAAAAGGGAAAAGGAGGGACCCTTAATGGGGACCTCTACCCTATAATGGGCTAAGATAATGGGTATATAATAGCTACTTTAAGGGTATATACCTGGGGGTCCTTATTAAGGGTCCCTCCTTTTACCCTTGGAGTATGGGATCGTTTCGGACTCAAGGTTTAGCTTGTCGGCCGTTTCTGGTGCAGGATTTTGAATTTGGGCGGTTTTGGGCTTCCGAGATCAGGAGCTTACTGTTTAGGCCCATTGACGGTTTCCAGTTTGGGGTCGATGCGGCTTAGGGAAGCGGAAACGGTTTAGAGTTAGGGTTTAGCGTTTGGGGTTAAACTTTTCAATCTCCTGCAGAATGCATGCTATGAGTCGCAGAGTCTTCAAGCTCGTCTACCAATTCCCAGCAGTGGAACCGCTGCGTCCAAGGATAACAAACAAAACAGGCAACAAAAGAAAGGTTCACATGACATTTGGATTTAGGTAAATTTTGAGTTCAGGCTCTTGAAAAGGTTCTGTTATGGGTTCTTCACATGTTCTCTTAATAGTTTGCTCTTGAAGTACCAATAGAAATATATCCCGAAATGAATTATCCTGATCATATCTAGCTATGAACCCTGGACCACTGCAGAAGGCCAAGACGATACAAAACCCTGTAAATCAAGATTCACAGTAGCAATAGCCGCCCTTAGAATCAACATATATCGGAACAATATAGTACCCTAACTCCTGAACAGTAGGACCCTGATTCTAAGGACCCCAAAATATGGTACTCCTAATTCTCGGAAACTCCCACAGTATAAGAAAATTAAAACACACCAAGAGAATCCACGTACACTACCATTGTGGCATGAGGTCCCAAGAACCATAATGGGGATGCCGCGCATGCCGTCCCCTGAAGCGGCCCTGCCGATGCTTGTCTGTTCCACACCGAACCGACAGACAGCGAGAGGCATAGACTAGCGACCCGGCGTCCGGAGTTTGTCGCCCGCCACGCTGCGCCTGCATGCCGCGAGAGATACCCTTCCCTATAAGTGAAAGCTGGGCCAAACCTGTGACGGGGTCGGCTGCATGAACCACACCTTCGACTGCTCCCGACACCACGACTGCGTGGGAACACGAGCCGTACAGAACCATCTGTGTGCGCGACGGGCAGGTCTGTGCACCGCTTACGCGGGTTGGCATGCCTCAGTACGAACGAACATTCGACGTATGCTCTCCCCCATGTAACATTCCGTTCGATGTCGTCATGCTTAGCTCGGGCCTCGCTTGCCCCTGCAACCGTATGCTTCAGGCATCGCCCTCCCGCCCCCCTCCCCCTCCCGTTTCAAGCACAGACACAACCTTCGCATCGCACGCAGATACACCGAGGAAGCGTCCCCGCAACAACCGTAACGCAGAGGAGCCGGCGCCGGCGGCGGAGAAGTTCCCGTCCTTTCAAGCGAACATACTGGGAAAGGCTTCTCCAACCGTTAACAGCTGACAGCAGTCACTGACCTCACAACGTCGAGCATGCTAAACAAGTTGCAGGCCTTTCACGTGGCACGTGAAGCCGACCTTCCGTGCCAGAGAGTCCGATTAGTGGTCCAGGGCGTTCAGGAATTACCAAGCAGGTGCAAAGGTCTGAAGAGTGGAATCTTGTTCGGGGACGAAGACGACTTGGTGCCACGGGCAAACCACGTTTATCCAGGTTGGAAGACACGGAAAAGCGACAACCAGAAGGAAACGAGGGAAGAAGTGTAACGGTAGGAGCAGTAAAGCGAGCAGGAGCTAACGTGCCAGGGGAAGAACGGTGGAGTGGTGAGCAGTTCTGGACGCGGAAGTGGACCCGCCTGAGTTTCCAGATCTGACGCGCTTGCCGTCCTGGGGCCACGCTGGCACGGCCACCGCTATATTACCGATGTGCCCAGCACGTTCCCTGCCTTCATCTTCACCTCGCTTCGAGTGGTTCCACACGGTTCGACAAGAAGACATCAACATGCGAAGGTTGCGGCAAAGAGCCAATGGACAGACAGCTGGGCTGCCCAACCAAAAGCCGTCGTGTTTGCCCATGCGCGACGGTCGCCTGGAAGACGCGGGAAGGCAGCGATGGGGCATTAACACTTCAGGCCGGAGGGAGACAGACGTGGCTCCGGAAAACTCCGGGCCCAGCGCCGGCTTCCTCTTCGGCATGCACTTTGCCTTCTGGACCAGCCAGCACCATCAAGACGCATCGAGCTTTACAAATCAATACCAGGGTCCCGGCGCGAGTCCGAGATCGAGCCTATCAGTACGATGGACGGCGGGTGAATGCAGATCATTGCAGACCCTGAGCTGTAAGTTTGACAGTAAGTTATCGGGTCCAACGATTCCACGCAATACTTCATAATCATTCTTAAACCGTTCTGATTCCCCAATCTTGCCATCGACGAACGGACGAACTCCGGCACTGACGAACTGACGAGACCATCGACGGGCAACGAAAAGACTCACAGCTAGCCGGACGGCCGCAGGTATTAGATCCGATGTAGGCATAACGACCACGACAAAGCGACGTTCCATGCAAGACTTGGTGTTCACTAGACGCAAGACCGAGTCCACGACCGGCAGTATATATAGACCCTCTGGGAAACTTACTAAAAGCATTATAAGTTTATGCCCTATATGGGAGTTTCCGAAAATAGGGGGTACCTTATTTGGGGGTCCGTATAATAAGGATCCTACTATTTTGGGTACTATATTAGGGTCACCTATTTTCGGAAACTCCCATATGCCAGAAGCCCAAGAGGCTTGAAGTCCTGGACTTGCCCGATGCGGAGTAAGATTCCTCGTTTGTCTTTAGGGTTTATAGGGCTTAGGTTTGTTTCGGTTCAGAGTTTAGGGCTTAGGGGGGCTTCGGTTTAGGGTTGAAGGTCGGGGTTCAGGGCTTAAGGTTTGGACAGCGGCTTTAGGGTTTATATAGGGTCTAAAATTTAGGGCTTGGAGTGTACGATTCGCTGGAGTCGGACACTAATTACTAGGCTAATACTGCGTCTAGTCACAGGAAAACTGCTTGCTTGCTCTGTGTCATTGTTTCTGAACCAGGTCCCTGAGTAGCCCCATGATGAATAAGGGCACCCTTATCTCCTACTATTCGGTTGCAATACCCCAAATGGTCCAAGTACGAAAATAGGAGGTACTTAGTAGATACTTGCGCCCCAGACGTATATACTATACCATCACTTGGACCCTTTGGGTATATAAGGGGACCCTGAAAGAAAAAGGGCAAAAGGGTACCAGTCAGGAACGTGGTGAGTAAGGCTCGTTTCCAGTGTTTTCCCAGGTTTCGGACCTCAAGTTCGGGGTTTAGGGTTTAGGGGTTGAGGGCTTTAGGGTTGAGGGCTTTAGGGTTTAGGGGTTTAGGGGTTTAGGGATTTGGATTTCGGGCTTGGGGGAAAGGTGCTGTTGAAGTCTCAGAACTTTGCCATTCTAGTGCTTTGAACATTCAGGGCTACCAGGGCTTAGAGGTCAAGGCTTGAGAAGTCTGATGTCTGCGCTTTAGCTTAGGGGTTGTCTTGACTCCGAATACCTGTAACTAGGATACCCAGTAACCTTAGAATAAAAAGGCCTCTCTTTTTGGTATTGGGTAACTTTAAAAGGAACCTAGGACTACAAAAAGTAAGGGTACTACTAGGCATCCTAGTCATCTACCCAAACCCCCAAAACCTACCCTGCTGCCTTCTATCTGCCTGCCCTCTATCCTCCGGCCCTGTATGCTCTGCCTTCTGACCTCTGCTGGCTGCCTCCTGCAAAACCCAACTCGTATAGCCAGTGCCCGAAAGTAGGATTGCATCTGTCTTGAGGCCATAGAGAAGCATCCAGATTGCCATCGCCGCGAGTTGTTGCCAAGAACTCCTGACACCCGTTTTCTGCAGGGGGGCAATGATGCCACCAATTCAAGAAGCCCTGCGACTGGTCGCGGTCAGCCTTCTGCGGTACAAGGCAGCATCACATGGCAGAATGTGATCAGGCCGTGTTCCTCATGTAGACAAACACAGGGTTTCAGCTTCGCTCCAGCGCAAGCCTATGGGGATGGAAAGCCGCAGATGCTGACACCCCATAGTTCCGCCGAAGGACTATCCATTCAGACTTGTGCCGGAAGAACCTTCGTTAAGGATGAGGCCTGAAGTCTATTTGGAAACAAATCGAAAGTACAACCTGCAATCATTTCCATAGACCCAAACTTAGTTCCTCGCGAACCTCTACGGAAGCCCTTTCTAGCCTACCCTGACACGCCTTCGAGCGACCCCAGCACATCAAAACAACACAACAAGTTCAACACATCAGACGGAAAACTGCAACACTATATGCACATGTATGTATCATATGTACAGTGTATACATACATTCGTATATATAGCTACATACATAGACAAAAGTTAGGTGTATCTACATATATATATATATATATGTATGTGTACACACACACACATCCATCACACAGCCAAAGAAACAGAACTAACGTTGGGTCCATGTAGCCAAATAGTATATACTTTGGCCTCAATGGTAATTAGGCCCTCTATAGGTTGTTGCGGCCAAGGTATGTACTAGTTGAGCACATGGAGCCTTAATTTAAACCCAAAGCCTGCAAGACCCTTAAAGGAACACTTACAGTACCCTTAATCGAACCCTTAGAGGGACCCTTAAAGAACCCCTGGAAACCCTAAACCCGAGACCCTACCTCAAAGGGACTTTTACGGACTGTAAGAAGGCGCAACTCCAAACCCGAAACCATACTATTGGTGTACACGTACTCTTAAACCCTAAATCCCAAACCCTTATGGTACCCATATAAAACTCTTATAGGAATCCCTGAAGGAACCCTATTTGGGCACATCGACCCGTAGGGACACACAAACCCCAAACCCTGAACCCAAAAACCCTACTGCTACTGAAACCCTAAACCCTAAAACCCTAAATACCCTTCCGGACACAGGACTACGGTAAAATATGTACCCCAAAACCCTCTTCTAATTAGTAAGGCCCCTGCATTAATCACATTGGTCGAGCCTAAACCCTGAACCCTAAACCTAAAACCCTAAAACCTTTCTAAACCCTAAACCCTAAAACCTTTCTAAACCCTGAACCCTAAAAGCCTAAATCCTTTAAGTCACAGGTCGAGCCAGGAGGCCCGCGAGGTCCAGCGCGCCGAGGATGGCCCGGCTCTTTGGGGTTCTTGGCACTCGAGGGCTTTAGGGTTTAGGGTTTTAGGCTCTAGGGTTCTAGGGCTTAGGGTTCTAGGGTGTAGGGCTTTAGGCTTTAGGGTTTAGGGTTTTGGGGTTCTTGGCACTCGAGGGCGGGGTTTCGACGTCCGAAACTTTAGGGCCATGAAGTATTGTTATATGGGTGGTTGCCAAGATTAGGGTCCACTTTTATAGTACGGCACCGATTATTTTGGGTTCCCCCAAAAGGGTTATAATTTTGACAACCACCCATATAAGGTTCAGGGTTTAGGGCCAGTTTAGGGTATACATGAGGTTTAGGGCTGTTGATTTTTTAGGGTTAAGGTTTAGTGCCCAGGGTTGTGGGTTCAAGGTTAAGGGTTTGGCTGCTCATATCTGGGTTTGAGGATTGACTTGTTCCTGTTTTGCAGCGAAGGGTTAATAGACATAGAGCAGGTTTACAGGTTTACATTCTGGAATGGGGGAACTTATCGTGTTTGGGGCTCATGGGCCAAAGGCCTCTATACGTATGTAGGTTTAGGCTGCTTTCTGAGCTGGAGAAGATGCCTCATTTTTGAACAGGCTGGTGTGTAAAGCGTAAAGGCTTCATAAGCCGGATGCGAAAACCTAAACCTAAAACCCTAAACCTTAAATTCCTTACATCCGATTGAAAGTTCTACGCCCCAAGTCTTAGACAAAGCTTCTCTGCGTCCAAGACCATGCCCGGAGGGAGTTTCGCAGGATGGTGGCGCAATTCCTTCGTGAGTTCCCCACATTTACGCGGGGCCGAGGATGATTTAGACGGGTTCAGGTTGTACCTTAACCCGGAATAACCTACCTTTTTAAGGACGTATATAAGGAAATCATAATAAGGGTCCCTAAAAAGGTAGGTTATTCAGGCTTAAGGTAGGGCCTTTGGAGTTTGAGCTTGGATTTCAGGTCTTGGGCTCAGGGCTTGGGGTGTGTACGTGCTTGCACGACCTTGTTTTTGCAAGGTCTTAGGGCCGCATATGTTTAGGGTTTAGGGTTCAGGGTTGAGGGTTTAGGGTTAGGGTTCTTTGATCTACTCCGGGACGACTTTGGATAGGTTTTCGGTGGAGTGCATACACACACAGACCAATAAACATGAACAACCAGCACCAGCACCACGATGACAACGACCATGAACACAGCGACAACAACAGAAACCAAAAAAGAAACCCTAACCCCTAAACCCTAAACCCTAAACAAAGAAAACTGAATCGAGATCACATCAACACCGTCTTTCGTCCTCGAGCACCGCAGTAGCGGCCTCCACGGCGGCCTGCGAGTTCGGGGGAGTTCGGGGCTCCCTTGGGTTGTCTTTGTTGGGGAAAGGCTGGGCGGGTTTAGGGTTTAGGGTTTAGGGTTTAGGGGCTAGGCTTGGGATCAGACCTTGCGACTATAACCCCAAGGGTCCAAGTACCTAACAATCATGTACTCTCCAAACTCCTAACCTATATTAACTACTATCCTAAAACCGAGGACCTAATTATTGCGTCCTTTGGACCCTTAGGGAAGGGTTCCGCGGTTTAGGGTTTAGGGCTTTTTGCTTCAACGGAATCTTTCCAGGAACTCAGGGTTTAGAGATTCGTGTCAGGGCTCGATAGGGGCTTCAAGGCTAAGGGTCTGTAGGAATTCCTTTCCTTGGGGGTACTTGGAAATACTTTTTAATTTTTGGTTATTATAATCCCTAAGAATCAGCTAAAATTATAATTTTTGCTTGGGTTATATGTTCAGTATAGTTTCAGGGATCTCCAGAACCCTACGAACATTTAGGGTTCCGGATCTATAGGGGGATCCTCATAAGCGGTCCAAGCGCTGTTTTGGGGCTTAAGGTTTGGGGGTTAGGATTTCCTTTCAGGGATCTACCCGGGTTCTATAAAGGAGTTTTAGAGTTCAGGGTTCAGGAAGAGCTGAGAGGGATCTGTAGGCCTAGGGCTTCTTTTGGTCCTTGTACAGGGATTCCTTGCAGGGATTTACAATACAGGTTCTGTAAGGGTGCTATAGGTTGCAGGGTTTAGGCTTTAGGGGTGCTAGCGCTCAGGAACTATAGGGTTCAGGGTTCTATGCCGCTTAGGTTTGGGGTTTTAGGGTTTAGGGTTCAGAAGTACCAAGGAGTGCCTGAAACATGTTCTATCGGGGCTGACTTCGGGCTTTCTTTGATGTGCGGTGCCTGGGGTTGCAGAACTATCCTGCTGAATGTCATGAGGCCTTATATTTGGGTTTAGGTTTAGGGTTTTAGGGTTTAGGCGCAGAAAATACGGGATCCTAATGTACTTGTAGAGCGTGTATGTTTTGTGGCGTATTTTTTCCTCTCGGGCACAGTTTCCAGTGTTAACTTTTAGGCACGAGAGATCATTGGGCGTTCACCTTGTGATGAGGGAAGGGGGGTTGGGGCTTCGGATTTAGGGTCACAAGGGGCTTGGATCCCTCATAATAGAGTTTCATGGTAGCTCTTTATACAGGTGAGGGTTTACAGTGCTGTGTCGAGTTACGGGTTTCGTACCCTTGAAAGCTTAACATCACAAGCGTCGTGCAAGTGAAGAAACACCGTGGTGAAAGAATGAAGCAACGATTGATGAAACAATAGAGCAGCTTTGCGACTGTACTGACCGCACTGACAACCTGAGCACTCAACCCTACAATCCCTACAAACCTTTCCGGCATCCTCCTATAGGTTCATCGAGAGAAAGCGGTGTTGTTAATCAGGGGTCTAACCTGAATCTGAAACCGGTACTCGAAAACCTCCCTACCATCTAGCTTATTCAACCCCAGACAATACGCCTATTCCTCTTTCAGGCACAAGTCCAGATCCCTGAAGTCTTTACTATACCCCCTTAGAACCGTAATAAAAACGAATACGTTTATGTTATCTTTTTTGGGGTTTTATATTAACAAAATAAAAAATGTTCCTAAGGAGACAATAGTTCAATGTCAGAAACCCTGTAGAGGTCGATTTCAACAGTCCCCCAAACTACTTAACACGATTGCAGGGCTCTATGTTAATAAACACTGCGGGAAATTGAAAACTTGTCAACCTTTGACGTAAACACCCTAACCCCTAAACCTTTTTAACCCCTATAAACCCTAAACCCCTCAACGGGAGTACCCGAAAGTAGGGGACTCTAATATAGTACGCTAAATAGTCGGATCCTTATGATAAGGACCCCAAAATGAGGTACCCCTATTTTCGGAAACTCCCAAACCCTAAACCCTTTATAGAACCCTTATAGTACCCTTATAGTAGCCCTTAAAGGATCCCTTTAAAGGTACCCCTAAGTTTCGGAAACTCCCGTTTCTACCCTAAACTGAACTCATCAAGTCGGGCCGCCGCCCCCGCTGGGCTGGAGGCCGGGGCAGAGGGCGCTGCATCGGGCGCCAGGGACGCCGCTGAGGCCTTGACCGTGTGGTGTGCATTCCCTTTAGGGGTTAGGGGTTTAGGGTTTAGGGGTTTAGGGTTTAGGGTTTAGGGTTTAGGATTTTCTTGCGCGTGTCTCTTAGAGGATCATGGGACTTGGTAAGAAGCCCCGGGATTCCTTTAAAGGGTGTGTGTGTGTGTGTGTGTGCGCTAGGTGTGCTGTTTTGGGGTTGTCTTTGTTGGAGAAAGCCTGGGCGGCGAAGAGTTTGAGGTTTCAGGTTGGTTTGGGGTTCCGGGCGATTAAATTAGAGGTGAGGCTTGGGATCAGACCTTACGACTATAAGATGCATGTTTCGCCTCACCGTTTTGGTGCTGACCATTTTATTTCTTCGTCCTACATCCTCGACACTGAAGCTGCCGAACGGGTTGGGACCGTGTCTGTACGTCGCATTTTCAAAAGCCACCAGCCGGTTCCGTATGGAATTCGAAGTTTTGTTGGGCAAGCCTTCGGACGTCCCTAGACATGCGAGAAAGAAATCACAGCTTCCATGTCTTGGCATACCCATATACATGTCTATTGAGAGGTTGTTTGTTGTTTGCTTGGGGGAGGCTAACTGGTGTTATTTTGCAGCTGTTTTGGATTGGCATGCGTTGACATGGCTATCATCATCCATGGGCGTTGGAAGCCTGGGTCACAGAGCTTTGAGTCCAGTCGCCGTCAAGCTGTCAGCCACGGCGCGCATCACAGCGGCCACGGTACTGGTGATATTGGCAGTCCTGCGAACCCTAAACCCTGGTTTAGGATTTGGTTTAGGTTAAGGCCCATGTAACCATATAGTATATACTTAGGCCTTAAAGTACCTACAGAATTAGGGACCCCATTAAGGCTTAAGTATCTACGTTACAGGTAGTTTAGGCTAGCCAGGATGCCCAGCAACCTGGGAATAAAAAGGGCTCCCTTTTGGTGTTGGGTAACTTTATAAGGAACCTAGGACTACAAAAAGGGAATAAAGTACAACTGGGCATCCTAGAAACACTAAACCTTCAAGCTCAACCCGGTTACTAAACCCTAAACCCCTCAACCCGATAGCCTAAACGCAAAGGGTCCCATGTACTGTTCTGGGGTATACTTTCCTAAGTCGTAATAGTAGTTCCTAATATGGAAACCCTACATTCTACTATATCGGCACATAGGACCCTGTGGGAAACCGTAACGTGCGAATCCAGGCGAAGCTAGCCCCTACCTTTAATAAGGACCGCTAGGTATATACCCTTAATATAGCTATTATATACCCATTATACCTCCTTTTCCCCGAAACCCTAAACCCTAAACCCCTAAGGACCCCTTAAAGGAACCCTAAAGATCCCTTATAGGAACCCTTAGAGGTCCCCGTTAAGGGTCCCTCCTTTTCCGGTTCGATAGGTCTCGGAGCTGAAGGAAGTAAGCCGGGGGTCGGCTAAACGAATCAATGGAAACTGGCACTGTGCGGGCTCCGTAAAAGGGTTCTACAGGGCTCCTTAATGGGATCTATAGGGTTCCTTAAAGGGATCTATAGGGTTTAGGGTCTACTTAGAGCAAACAAACAACCGCAAATGCTTTAATCCATCACAAACAACTGCTGAAGCGTGCAGGTAGCTAGAGTGGCAAAGTGACAGCCGCACGAATAGCGGAACTTATTATTATCTTAAACCCGCAGCCCACGCGCCCCGAATTCCTACGTTCCGATGTATCGATGTAGTTCAGGGTTTGAGGTCTACCTAGGCAGCCTCAAAACCGTCTGAAGGTTACTCGCACAGGTTGCTCAAGCATCCATCTAACGGATCTGTTCAAGGGTTTCTAAGAATTTGACCATGTTCCCCTATAAACCCTAAACCCTAATGCCTAAACCGGTTCCTTCATGGGGATCCTTTAAGGGTAGCTTGAAGCATTCGTTTGAAGATTCTTGAACATCTAGCCTTCGATACTCCATACTTCCCACAAGAATCCTATGATATTCAGTAAAGAAACCATAAACTCCTCGATGAATAACGGTTAGCTCGTTCAAGTAGGGACCCGTCTTATGCCCCCAACACAGTACGGCGCCCTCAAACAGAAAAAGGACCTGCCCGTATCACATGAAAGGATGTCGCGCCCTAAACCCTGAACCATAAACCCCAAAACCTTAAACCCTAAACCCCAAACAGCCTAAACCCTAAAACCCCTAAAACCCTAAACCCTAAAACCCTAAACCCTAAAACCCTAAAACCCTAAACCCTAAAACCCTAAAGCCCTAAAACCCTACACCCTAAAACCCCTAAAACCCCTAAAACCCTTAACCCTAAAACCTAAAACCATAAAACCCATAAAACCCTTAACCCTAAAACCCCTAAACCCCTAAAACCCTAAAACCCTAAACCCTAAAACCCAAAACCCTAAAACCCTAAACCCTAAAACCCCCAAAACCCTAAACCCTAAAACCCTAAAACCCTAAACCCTAAAACCCCTAAAGCCCTAAAACCTAAAACCCCAAAAAGCCTAAACCCAAAAACCCTAAAACCCTTCGCCCTCCTGGCGTTTTCACGAAGTCGCCCGGCCAGGTGGAGCTCGGTCCTTGAAGAGACTCGGGTTTAGGGTTTAGGGTTTAGGGGCATCTTACTTGTCCTAAGGCTCCATGTGCCCATATAGTAGATACTTAGGCCTTAAAGGGGTCCCTATAAAGGTACTTTAAGGCTTAAGTATCTACTATAAAGGCGCATGGAGCCTTTGGGTTGTCCAGCATCCTAAGGGAACTAAAGGTTAGCCTCGGGGACTATATGGGTGGTTGTCAAAACTATGGTCCCTTTTTGGGTACCCTAATTATTAGGTGCCGTACTATAATAAGGATCCAAAAAGGGACCATAATTTTGGCAACCACCCATATGTGTTTTATAGTATCCCAAAAAGCACGAAAAGGTTGCGGTTTCCTACCCTACTGCTAGGGCATTTTGGGCGCCAGAGCTTGTAGCGCTGTAGGGCTTAGATACTTTCGGTGTCCCCTCTCAGTCTGTGAAAGGACTCGATGTCAATTTGGGTTCTTCTCCAACCTATAGTTATGTTTCTCGGGGCCCTTGAAGGGACTTTTGGGTTTAGTGTGTGTTCGAGCTTGTAGTGCTTTAGAGTTTAGAGGTTTTCGGGGTTCACTTGTGGGGTCCCTCCCGAAGGGCTTCAAAGTGCTGTAGAGTATTCCCCGAAGTCTACATTAGGATAACTTGGGACGTCATGTTTCGAGTTTATGATTTAGGATGTCGGGTTTAGGCGTTGTGCAGGGTATCCTTGGTTTACTTAGTGAGTTGCAGAATGCGGCGAATAGAGACAACTTCCTGGTTGTTGAACCGAACCACAGAGCAAGAAGCAAGAAGGAGCTAGGCCATTTACAGGGACGGCTCCACTTACCTCCTTCTGCTGAAAGAGTTGAGATTCAGCCTCTAAACACCTAAACCCCTACACCCAAAACCGTCCCTGTAGAACTAGTCCTCAAAACATAAAGCCCAAGATACCAGCTCGAAAACCCTACGGAGCTCAACATGCTATCCATATCCTTAGGGTTTGGGGCCTAGGGTGTTGTGGGTTTAGGTTTACGGCTTTGGGGGTTTAGGGTGTAGGGTTTTATGGCTTAGGCTTAGGGCTTTCAGGTTTTTGGTTCAGGGTTCGCAAACTACACGGGGCGTTAATGTTTAGGACTCGATCCTTGACAAAATAGAGAGTAAAAAGCTTCAACACCCTAAACAACTGGAGCCACGGCTACACTTTCAACTCTTGAAACTATACTCTACCCAAAGGCCGCAAAGTAGTTCCTTTTTGGGGCTCATATATAGAACCCTATAAGGTAATCCCAAAAAGAACTACTATGGGGCCTCTGGGTAAACAAACCGACAGTCCACGACCTCTTCTGATTGAGCGAGGGCCAGGATTTCCCAACTCCGGACAACAGAGGAGCATAAACTACGTACCCAAGCTGTGCTGTAGTCATTTCCCTAAGGGTCCATGTGCTCATCTAGTATATACATTGGCCTTAATGTAGTCCCTATATAGGTACTTTGGGGCTCATGTATCTCTATATGGGTACATGGACCCTTAGGGTTTATGAAGCCAAACCCCGCAAGACCCTCTGCAAACGGCAGCCCTTGCACCTCAAAACCAATCTTTGAAGCCCTGATGAAATCTCATGCTGTAAACATCCCCAATTCCCAAAACCTGGCAAAACCATTGTAAAACCTCAAACTGAAAACACCCCTAAACCCTAAACCCTCCTAAAACTCATAATCGGCTAAGGCCAAGGGGCAACCCGCCCCCGAGTAGCACTGCACCGGTACGCGCCGCCTCCCAAAGAACGTGGAAGGCCTCAGGGGAAGAACATCAAAATTTGGTCTAGGAGTTCAGAAATCAGGTTAGGGCTAGCAAGACGGAATGCCCGGCAAATCAAGCCCTGGTGCATTTCCAAAAACTTTCATCGTTATCCCAGAAAGACCCACCAGTGTGCGGCAAAGTTCCCCCCCAGTCTGTCCAAAGAAAGAACTTTCCAAAGCAACAGCCACAGAGACATAAAGCTTGCGAGGATTTAGACCGAGTACCGCCCTACACCCCAAACCCAAAACCCTGAACCCTAAACCATGACCCCCGAACCCCAAACCCTAAACTCCGAACCCTTGCGGATCTCTTATGGGATTCCTTCTAGGATCCCTGAATTAAGCAAGCCTTATGAAAACTGCTATGAGAAAAGGAACCCTAAAAACAAGTCAAGGAAATCCAAAATCCCTAAACCCTAAACCCTAAGCCCTCAACCCTATACCCCAAACCCCTAAACCCTAAACCCCCAACCCTAAACCCCTAAACCCTAAACCCTAAACCTCAACCCTGAGCCCGATGGCCTGCGGCAAACAGTACCTTGGAAGAGGCCGTGAAGCTTCTCTTAGCTGTTGAGTTCAGAAGCCCTCCCAAGTGTACGGTTTCATTTCTACAATGGATAATCGTATGCCCAAAAGCGTAAAGTGTACTCATTCAGCCACTAGGTAATAGAAGGGTACTATACGTGTTCCAAGAAGTTCTTGTACAAGAGCTATGGGCACCACTATATATCTGTATGTCAGCTTACCCTTCATGGTCCATGTGCTGGGGTAGATGAGAACATACAGTAACATCTAAGGCACTCATTTCGAGCCGAATATATTGAATAGCTCTAGAGCACCCAATGGTATGGGAAATTGCGTTGTGTACGGCGTCATCGGCCGCTGAAGCTCGAATCCGGGAAGGTACTTCGCTTAGTGCGTGGAGTTCAGGGTGGTGCTTCGGCGGAAGGGGGGGGGACGGGAGAGGCGCTGCAAACTTTGGACTATTCTCCGGTGAAGGGTTTTCTGCTCAAAGTTTGACCCTCACGACTCTTGGATACGGTTGGCCTGCGTAGTACCAACTGATCAGGAGCAGAAGGCCTCTACACGGCATTGACTACTGTGGTTCGTGGGTAGTCAGATAGGAGTAGACGTATCGCACTTCTTATGCTGACTATCAGCACAAAGTACCTGAATTCGGCGTTCTTGCTGATTGCAAGCTGAAGCTCGTAGATTGCAAGCAGGCCCTTCATCCTTGCCGCAACGTCCTCCAATCGATCACCTTCATCTATATCTGCGTAATTTGTTGTAGGAGACCACTGCAACTTCCTTGCATCTTGTGGTGTCGTCATGATGGCCGCCAAAAGCTCGTGCACCTGCATTTGACACTCCGGCTCCGGCAGTGCAAAGCTTGCAACAAGCCCCACTGGCGTGGCCCTGGCATCAGGATAAATTTCAAGAAAGCAAGCGGGATGGTAGCAGTCGCTTTCGTTGGTCACGTGTCCCAAATGCAGCCTTGAATGGAATCATGAACTTACTTGACACCGTGCTAGCAAGATCCCCCCCCCGATGCCCAACAAAGCCTGAACAAAAGTGGTCCAAGTAGAGACCTCTGATGTCTTGGGTTTAGGGTGGAGGGTTTAGTGTCCTAGACTCTGCCCACCAAGTAACACGCAGTAGAGTATTAGACTGTGAGTATATGCCCCCCCCCACCCCCCCGAAATTATTTGCACCCAGGAGCCTTAGAAATGGAAAGCTATGACCCCTTCATTAGTGTTCGCGTAGATATAGCAGCAGGAAATCTCCCCGGGCGCGGAACATGACCGCAAAACTCTTCGCATGAACTCCCCTAAACCCTAAACCCCAAACCCTACTGAATTCCACACCCCTAACCCCAGCCCTACGAATCTCACACCCCTCAACCCTAAACCCTATGAAAGCCTATAGATCCCTTTATCCCTTTAACGGAACCACCAAAACCCAAAACCCTAAACACCCTAAGCCCTACAATCCTACGCCCCTGAATAAATCCAAGGGTAGAAGGAGGGACCCTTAATAAGGACCCCTAGGTATATACCCTTCATATAGCTATTATATACCCATTACCCGTTATATAGCCCATGATAAGGTAGGGGTCCGCTTTAAGGGTCCCTCCCTTTCCCCTTTCAATAAAAGGAAGGGGCTGTCGAGCCGGTCCCCACAGTTCTGAGTCATATGGGTGGTTGTCAAAATTATGGCCCCTGTTTGGGGTCCTTATTATAATACGGGGCTCTTTTTTAGGGTACCCCAAAAGGGGCCATAATTTTGACGACTACCCATATCCAGCTTAGGGTTCAGGGTTTAGTAGGGGGTTTGGGGGTTTAGGGTTTAGGGCTTAGGGGTTTAAGGTTTAGGAGTTTAGCGGTTAAGGCGCCCAAACTCGAAGCTTCCGCAACGCCGGCCTCGAATTTAGCATGAAATCACAAGACGTTGAATGCTTAATCTAGGGGCCTATAATAATCAGAATAGAGTTCCTTTAAAGAGGTCTATAAGGGCTACTATAATGTACCCGAACAAAACACCTTAAACCCTCGCTCCTGTCAACCCCTGTTGACTGTTGTACAACTGCGGAAGCCGCTAAACTATAAACCTAAACTTCTCTGTGTCCAGGCTTCTTCAGCTCGTTCAGCGCATGCTCGTCGGGGGCGCCCACCGTGAGCGTGCTGATGGGCAGAGCCGGATGCTTGGCCTCATGTCGCGCTTATAGGGTCTTGGGATATTTAAGGGATTGGTCTATTCGGCTTGTGTTTGGGGTTTAGAGTTGGTAGGGGGTTCAATCACCAAAGGGGTAATTATAATAGGTAGGGTTTACAAAGTTTACACATCATTGAATTAGCGTGTGTAAAGATGCGTGCTTCAGGACCGTACGCGCCAAGACTCGACACTAACGACAAAACGCGCAGATGCGATACTATAAAGCCAAATCCCAAACCGAGAAAAACATCATCAAAACCACGAACCAAGAAATGAAATCTTGACAGCTACGGCAAAACTCCTCACGACCTGTGTGCAGCAGATGTTCCGGCGGTGCCATTCTGATGTAGTTGCGCGCCTCTGAGGCTCTGTGGGCAGTGGACCAAACTTGGGTTTAGGGTTTGGGGGGGGCGTCCATATCCCTGCCACTAAATCTGGTCAGGATTCCATGATAAGAAAAAGCATTGAAGAGGAGACACTTTTCTGGGTCTGGGTAGTCCTGAGTTCTGAAGTTGAAGGGCTGTGACCTCCAAGTGTGAAATCGGAGGAACGTGAGCCTACTGCATGCTTCGGCCATCCCACAGATGCGACTGTTTGGGGTTGAGAACCCAGAGGGTCCATATATTCTACTAATATGGAATCAGCTCCCCCAAAACCATTATTAGTATGGTCTGTTGGGGCCTGAACGCATTAATGGCACTTATTATGTGGACCCTCTTGAAAGTTTTAGCATTTACTGTAGGATGCTGATTGCGTGGGCGTTGTGGCTACAAAAAGCCTTCGCTCGGGAGGCAGTTCTGAGGTAGTAAGCCATAACCCTAAGGGCCGCAAGGACCCAATGACCAGGCACTTGGGCTTAGGATAGTAGTTAATTATGTAGCTTAATATTTGAGAGTATATGATTATTAGGAGCCTGGACCCTTAGGGTAAGCAATCCGACCTCGCATAAGGCAAGCACGACGCGCAAGGTCTACCTGAACGAACCCCCAAATCCCTGCCATTTCAAGGAACTGAATCAGGCAGCCATGATGAGAAACCCTCTAGATGCAATAATCTAGGGGCCTGAGTATTTGGGGCCCATTATACTATAATCCTAATACGGAACCCCCAAAACAACATTAAACTTGGTTATTTAGGCCCCTATATTAGGTCTCCGAAGGTCCAGATTGGGTTTAGGGTTTAGGGTTTAGAATTTAGTTTAGGGTTGCCATGAACGAGTCTGTGGTCTTGTGGGTTGGTCTTCCTTGTTCTGCGTGTGCTTGCGTGTGTTTGTGTTTGTTTATGGGTACGTGTTTGTATTTGCTGTGTCTGTGTGCTCGTTCGCGTGCCTGCATCTGTCTGTGTCTGTGTCTGTGTCTGTGTCTGTGTGTGTGTGTGTGTGTGTGTGTGTGTGTGTGTCTGTGTGTCTGTGTGTCTGTGTGTCTGTGTGTCTGTGTGTCTGTGTGTCTGTGTGTCTGTGTGTCTGTGTGTCTGTGTGTGCGTGCGCGTGCGCGTGTGCGTGTGCGTGTGCATGTAGGTGTAGGTGTAGGTGTAGGTGTAGGTGTGTGTGTGTGTGTGCGTGCGTGTCTCGCTTTCGGTCTAGCTGCTAGCTCTGACTGTCGTGTCTTTGGGTAGACTTTGATAAAAGACTGTACAGTCATCACATACGCACCAACGATTTATCCTAGGTAAAAGGCATCCGGAAATTGCACTACACCTTAAGCCTTACGCCTCTGAAGACCCACCTGACCCACCAACAACACACATGGCACTATTTAGGTCTCTGGACAATCCCTCTGCTGGCTCGGGGGGCTCGGGGGCGGGGGCAAGTTCCGTAATAGCTTTGCCGCACTATGCCCTAAAACCTAAGCCCTCCATTTTAATAGGAAACCCTGAATCCTAGAAGCCCTGAACCGAAAACCTAAACCATGAGTCCTTAGCCATTTCCATGGACCCGGGCCCTGGACCAAACCCTTTCCCAAATTGTCCAAAATACTGTTATGGGGGATACTTCCCCAAATCATAATAGTAATTCCGAATATAGGAACCTAAACCCTAAACCCTACATTCTACCATAAAGGTACTTTGAACCCTTTGGGTTTGGCAAGGAACTCCCAGCTGCGCGTGTTCCAGCGGGCCGACCTCGGTAGCCGTTCATGGCCCACCCCCAGAAAGTCCAGATAGCTAGACGAGAGCTCCTTTACAGGGTTTGAGGGTTTAGGGTTTAGGGCTCCCCTACAGGGTTTTACAACGGTACAGTTTAGGGTTTAGGGTTCAGGGCTCCTTTACAGGGTTTTAAAAGAATACGGTTTAGGGTTTGGGGCTCCTTTACGGGGTTTTATAAGTGTACGGTTTAGGGTTTAGGGTTTAGGGGTCCTTTACAGAGTGTTAAAAGACTACGGTTTAAGTTTTAGGGTTTAGGGCTCCTTTACGGGGTTTTATAAGGGTACGGCTTAGGGTTTAGGGCTCCTTTACAGGGTTTTATAAGGGTTGCTATACCGGGAACTACGGGCTGGCTGGATGCGAGTAAGGCACTAGCAGTCACTAGCCGTGGTCATCAGCTAGGCTTCAATAAGACCAGGTACCCTGCAGGGTGCTACAACGACATCTACGCATGAAGAAACTCCAGAGTTGAAACGCATTGCTTCAATGCGGTGATCTCAGCTGTAGTGCTCTCAACAAACTCGGCCAGCAATTCACCTAGATCGCTACCCAAGGACGAAGCCGATGACGGCGTGTGTGATCCAGGGTTTGGGTGCTCCAGTATTTGTAGTAGAGCTTGCGAAAGTCGCTCCCGGCGCTCAGATGATTGCTCTGATGCTGTGCGGGATGCTGGCAAGTCTTCACCTGCTTCTTGTTGAGAATCGCCCATGAAGGCAACAAATAACTAGCACAAGCACACCCACCAACAAAAACAAGTCAAAACACCAGATCCTCCGCCCCCTCAGCCAGCCCTTAAGGAACCCTCACCTCAAAGGAGCCCTACCCCGTCCCCAAACCCTAAACCCTCAACCCTGAACCCCCAAACCCTAAACTTAAACCCTCAGCCCTAAACCCTATACTTTGACCCTAAACCCAAAGCCCTACCCCCAACAACCAACAAAAAACGAGCTAATCTAGGTGCCTTACGTAATTAATGATTAGAATAAGGTTTTGGGCTCGTCTATGATCCCAAAGGCTCCATGTACCTGAATAGTAGATACTTAGGCCTTAAGCGGGTCCCTATATAGGTACTTCAAGGCCTAAGTATATACTACATGGGCACATGGAGCCTTAGGGCATGTAATTGCAGTAAGGAGCCCTAAGAAATGGTGATGGTAATTACTTAGGCCCCTATGCTAAATCCTTATAACCGCCCTGATAGTAATCCTTCTTGGACCCTTTTTTAGCACCTTTAACTTTAAGGGCACCCTATTCCAATTACTAAGGCCCCTACATTACTCCATAAACCCCGGAATCCCCTTTTGATCCCTTATAGAACCCTTAAAGGAGCCCTTTTAAGGAACCCTCTTCTACTTACTAAGGCCCCCAAACCCTACACCCTAAACCCCTAAACCCTAAACCGCTAAACCCTAAACCCTAAACCCCTAAACCCCTAACACCTAAACCCCTCAAAACCCCTAAACCCTAAATCCTATGGATCCTTATAAGGAACCCTATAGATCCTTTTAAGGAGCCCTTATAATTCCTAAACCCCCAAACCCTAAACCCTTGTACCGAGTGCCCGGGCCCATCCCAGCGCCTCGCTCCAGGAGGGCAAGGCGGCTAAGGAGGAGACCGGCCGAGCTCCCGTCAGGCGCCTTAAAGAAAAAAACGGTTTAGGGTTTAGGGTCTATAGGGTTTAGGGTTTAGGGTTTAGGGCTTAGGGCTTAGGGTTTAGGGTTTAGGGCCTATAGGGCAAAGGGTTAAACAGCCTTTCAAAAAACACATACACAAAAAAAAAGTAAAGAATCAAACCGTTTCCAACAACATAAAGTCAAGTCACAACCAACAAAGTAGCGAACAACAAGTGTGTCTGCCCTTTCTGTACCTTTTTTGCATAGAAAGGGATGTGTGTGTGTGTGTGTGTCTGTTAAGTTTTGGTTTTCATGCGTGTCCTTAAGGTGTACTTTTCTCCGGGGCTGAAGGAGCATGTTGATTCCTTTCGGAATGTGAAGCAGGATGTTTTCCTGCGTGGGTTCGGGCTTTAGGGGGTTGCCTGGGGATTTAAGGTAATCTAAATGTTCGTGTGCTTGGGGTTTACAGGTGCAGAACCAAGCTTGGTGCTGCTTGAGGGTTTCTTGAAAGTCAGGGTACCCTGTTTAGGGGTCCTTAGAATAACATCATATTATTCGGGGTCTATATTGCGTGACACATACTACAGTTGTTGCGAACGTACAAAGACCAAGGTAGCTAGGCTGTTCAGTAACCCACTGGGAAAAGTATATACTTTTTTAGGCTTCTTGTTTTTGTAATACGAACCCAGAAACCTGAAAGTAAAAAAGTGTACCACTGAACAGCCTGGGTAGGCATTGCCTGTGCAGTTGGAGTTCTCAGGGAAATCGACTTCGGAAGGCGCTTGTACAGTTTTACATTAGGTACGGCCCCCATACAGTAAGAGTCTATAATAGGGAAACTATTAAGGTCCTACTATATCTGTCTATATGATGAATATTATTCAATTGTTCAACTATTACTGAGTGGGGGCCGTACCCCGTGGCTTTCGTACAGGATGTATGTGAGTCTCAGAACATAAGAGACCCGGAATAGTAGGATATGTAACGTAGTAAACAGTGTTCGGACCCCCTACACCTGTATGAATACGGGCATGGATAGGGGGCGGGGGTTGCAAGCATCGTTGCTCAGCCAGGGCACTGAAACCCTAAACCCCTGAACCCTAAACCACGGCCATTTCGGCGCTTAGCAGTTTTACAGTCTGTCGTGGCCGACGGGTACATGGGGGATGGGGGGTTTCCGAAATAGGGGACCCTAATATAGTAACCTATTTTTTAGTAGGATCCTTATCATAAGGACCCCAAAATAGGGTACCCCTAATTTCAGAAACTCCCATTAGTCGGGGCTTCGGGCTTGGGTTTAGGGTTTACTGAATTCCCCACAGAACCAAAATAAAAATAATCATATTAATAATCTCCTGGGTTTGATATGACAAAAACACAAAAAATCCTAGGGAGACTATAATTTAGGGATTGGGGCTTAGGGTCACCATTCCGAGCAGATTATTTTCCATCCTGGGCTCAAAACCATTATGAGCGTGCTTGGGCCCTCTAGGAAAGCTTCTCAGCTTGTCTTGCACCTTGCAAATCCGAGTTTCCTTCGTACAGTTTTCCGAGGATTCTACAGGGTTATATGCAGAGTTGGGGTTTAGGGTTTAGGTTTTGGGTTCATGGGTTGCTCCATGAAGATGTGCCTGACGAAGTCGATGTGCCGAATGGAGAGGCGCCACAGCACACTGACACCTGCAGACAGGAATTGCAAGCTTAGGGAGTAGTGATATGATACAGGAGCCTTGAACAGTAGAATAGGCAAGGGGGTTCCGTCACGAAAGATTTCGACTGTAACAGTGATTTGAGCTTCGCGGGCGTATCAACCCCCAGCAATAAAGCTGTGCATCATGTAAGGCTTTGGACTTTGTGCTCTGAGGCCTAAATTCTCAAGCCCAAAATCTGCATATTAAAACTTTATAAAGTCCCTGTGAGATCCTTTTGAAGCCCTGGACCCTAAACCATTGTAGAAGCCTGTCCAAACAAGAAACATAAAGCCTAAGTTTAAAACTCTGACCCCTGACACCCTGAACCCTAGAACCCTAGAGCTCCCCTCAACCCTTAAGCCCTAACCCCCTAAGCCCTACACCCCTAAACCCTAAACCCCTAAACCCCTACACCCCTAAAACCCTAAACCCTAAACCCCTAAAGCCCTAAAAACCCTCAGAAGCCTTTGCCCTAGACCCTTATACACCCTTATAGTAACCCTTATAGTCCCCTTTTAAGGAACCCTTCAAAGGAACACTAAAAACCCTCAGAAGCCAAAAGAACCGCGAGAGAAGCAGCTTGACCTCGAGCGTGCAGGTAGTCGATGAGCCAGGGGTCCACGAGCTTCCTAGGTTTTTTCTTCCTACGGTGTAAGGAGTAGGGGTTTAGGGTTTAGGGCTTATAGGGGTGTAGGGGTGTAGGGTTTAGGGTTTATGGGGCTTATAGGGGTGCAGTGGTTTAGGGTTTAGGGGTGTAGGGGTTTAGGGCTTAAGGGTGTATGGGTTAAGGGTTTAGGGGTGTAGGGGTGCATGGGTTTAGGGTTTTTGGGTTTAGGGGTTTAGGGGTTTAGGAGTTTAGGGGTTAAGTGTTTAGGGTGTAGGGTTTTCGGGGTTAGGGGTGTGGGATTTGGGGTTTGGGGGTTTAGGGGAAGGGTTTAGGGCTCCTATAAGGGCTTCGATAATCATCGTTCCGAGAAAGGATCCCGCCGTAAGTGAAAAGGAGCGGTTGAGAAATGGATAACAACTACCACGGTTTAGGGTTGGGGATGGTTGGGGGTTTTGAGGGCTTAAAGGGTTTAGGGTTTAGGGCTCATCCAAAAACCTACCGTTTTAAGGGCTCTATCTTGGGCACTGCCCCCACTCAGCAACAGTTGGATGGTATTGATAATATAGCTCTATTAGGACCTTAAACCCTAAACCCTAAACCCTAAACCCTAAACCCTAAAGCCCTAAACCCTAAAGCCCTAAACCCTAAAGCCCTAAACCCTAAACCATAGTAGCCCTATTATAGACTTATGGAGGCCGTACCCAGGCTCGGGTCGCAACCTGCTATTTCGTAGGGATTGGGGTCAGAACTCGTCCAACAGTCGTTGCCTTGTTCTATATCCGAGAACAATCGAACAATGCAAGCACAAGACACCCCAAAAACTGATCCATAAACCGCAAACCCCCAGACCCCTAAACCGCCTAAACCCCAAACTGTGAACGATGAACCCTCTGAACCCGTACACGCCAAACCGCTAAGCTCACACAAAACTCTAAACACTAAACCCTAACCTCTGAACCCTCATGGATTCGGAGCTTCTGGCTTCCTGGCTGCTAAGAGCTGCCCGTTCCTTTGAGGGTGTAAAGTTTAAGTTTTCAGGGTTTAGGGTTTAGAGTTTAGGGTTTAGGGTCTAGAGTTTAGAGTTTAGGGTTTGGGTTTTTAGGGTTTAGGGATTAGAGTCTACGGTTTAGGGTTTAGGCTTTTTAACATGGCTTCAGACGGGTTCTGGATAAAAACCTGCATATGCAGGTGGGGTTGAGAGCTGACCCTAAACCCTAAACCCTAAAACCCTAAACCCTAAACCCTAAACCCCTAGGGTTTAGGGTTTAGGGTTTAGGGCTTGCTCTGTTTCGGGCCTTCGGCCCCTTGGGCTGTATCCAATCTCCGAGAAACCCTCTTGGTGCCCCTATAGAACTGCCGTTGTAGCATGTTGAAACCCTATGCATGGCCGAAAAAACCAATCCTATCAGGGATTGTAGGGTTCCTTATTCTGGTTTCTATATACAGTTTAAAAGGTAAGTTTTTCGTGCCATAGGTAAATCCTAGAGTCTAGGACCAAGACCCTAAACCCTAAACCCTTAACTCTAAACCCGAAGCCCAGGAAACCCCCGGAGAGGCTCTTACCTCTAAATGCCAAACACCAGTTCCCAGTTCCAACAAAACCCTTACTAGGTGGGGCTTTTAAAGCCTTTGAAAAAACTTAGTAAACAAGATCCTCTTAAGCCCAACTAGGGCAAATATAAACTGTCCCAAAGCCCTACCTAGCCTTATAAACTCTATACTAAATCACACCAAGCTCCAAGCCCCGCAAATCAGCTTAAAGGTTGAGGTGCAAAATGTGCAGGGTACAGAATTTACAAACCCCTACACCCCAAGCCTGAAACCAACAACCCTGAACACAACATCCCAAACGAGACTACTCTTCAGGGCTCAAAAAAACCCGGCATTCCAGATCCAGGCAACCCAAAGGCTCCATGTACCTGTATAGCAGATACCTAGGCCTCAAAGGGGTCCCTATATAGGAGGCCTAAGTATGTACCATATGGGTACATGGAGCCTTTCACCCTCGATCCTAAACTCTTATGGTACCCTTATAGACCCCCTATAGGAACCCTAGGATCCCCTATAGGAGCCCTTAAAAGGATACATGGAGCCTTAGGGCAAGTGGCTGGCAGGCCAGGGCTTTGGTGCCAGCTGCAAGCAAGCCTTAGATCTTCACGGTTTAGGGTTGAGGGTTTCAGTGTTTAGGGCATAGGGTTTAGGGGTTTAGGGCATAGGGTTTAGGGGTTTAGGGCATAAGGTTTAGGGGTTTAGGGTTTCAGTGGAGCTTAGGTACTGCCCCCATACAGTAAGAGTCTATAATAGGGCAAATTACTATTAAGGTCCTAATATATCTATATTATGAATATTCTTCAACTATTACTGAGCGGGGGCCGTACCCAAGGTTTCAGTGCTGAGGGCAAGGGTTATGGGACTGGCGTTTGGGGCTCAGAGTTGCGCGGTTTAAAGATTAGGGGTTACTTGGAGGATCATGGGACTTAGTAAGTAGGTTATAATTGGGGTTATAAGTCCCCTAAGTGGGGTTATCCTAATTATAACCTACTTATAACCTTACTTACTAAGTCCCATGAGCCTTTAAGTATATAAGGTTTCAGGGCTCATCAAGGTACAGAACCGGGCGAACCCATTAGGGGGGGGGGGGGCGGGTTACTCGACTCACAGGGAAGTCAATTCGAAGGTTTAGGGTTTAGGGGTTCAGAGCTTCGTGCATCTTAACACGAATGTCGAAACACAAATCCGGAAACTGTCACCCCAAACCGCCATTCTACATTACACGCATCCCAACTCCAAAACCTTTACAGAAGGGAGGAGCCCGCACCTCTAAACCCTAAACCCCTAAAGCCTAAACCCTAAGACCAAACCCCTCAAGCCTAAATCCCTAAACCTTAAGACCCTAAGCTCTAAACCCTAAACCCATTTCAGTAGCTGACCAGGCCTACACCCGCTACACTCCAAGCCCTAAACTCAGGGCACTGCCTGCTTCTCTACCCTAGAAGTCCTAAATCCTAGGGTTTAGGGTTTAGGGTTTTAGGGTTTAGGGTTTAGGGCTGTATGGGAGTGTCCGAAAATAGGGGACCCTAACATAGCACCCTAAAAGAGTAGGATCCTTACTATAAGGATCCCAAAATAAGGTACCCCCAATTTTCGGAAACTCCAAAATCCTACACAAACCTTAAACCTGGTCTTGAAGGGCCCTGCCCTGCCCTGTTCTGGCGGTGGCCGCCCTGGTCTGTCCTGCCCTGAGTTTGGAGTTTTGGCCGTTTAGGGTTTGGTTGGGGGCTATGAATAACTGCATCTATGTCTGCTTTACTTACAGAGACCTGCGTCAGCATCCTGGCTGTCGAACTTAGGGATAAAGCATCACAAAGTCAAGCCTTAATTGCATCCTTTCAGCAGGGCCCATCTACCAATAGTTATGGAGTTGGGTCTCAAAAACCACAATAAGGATGGTACGTTACCGGATGCTGGTATACATGTCACTGTATGTGGGTGACCCTTAAACCTCCCATCCATCAAAATTCAAAAAGCCCTAAAGCCTCAACAGATCATGAACCCAGAAAGGAACTTGAGGCGCAGTTGTGTCTCGCGGCTGTCCGCCAACTTCTTGAACTGAAGAATCTCCCAATCCCGAAGGGACGCCGCGGCCTTGGCTTCGGGTCAAAGATTCGGGGTTTAGGTTTGGGGGTTTAGGGTTTCGAGTTTGTGTTTGTGTTTAGGGTTTGCATTTAGGGGTAAGGTTTCGGGTTGTGGATTTTGCGGCTTGGGGTTTGGATTTGGGGTTTTGGGCTGGGGTTTGGTGTTTGGGGTTTAGCGTTTACGGTTTGGGGTTGGGAGTTTAAGGTTGTCAAGAAGGCTTTAGGCTTACTTGTCCAGTATCCTAGAGCCTTGCGGATTAGATGGCGAGTATACCTATAGTCTCCATTGAGGCTCCATTTTTTGGTTAACCAAAATCCCCATTATAGGATCCTAACCATAAAACTGGATAACCAAAAAAAGGAACTACAATGGAGACTGTAGGTAGTGTCCCAAGAAGGTTAAAGGTTACTTGCTTTATTAGGATCTGGAAGTTCTCAGGGCCAAGTAATCTTTAATGGAGCCCCCGGCCCTCGATTGTGGGTAACTCCCTAAGCCCTAAACCCCGAACCCTAAACTTACCGAAAGCCTATACCATGAACCTATATAGAACCCCAAACCCGTTAAACCCTAACTAAACAATTTTGGGTCTAGGGGATGATACAACGTACTTGGGGGGGTCGAGGTCTCCAGACACTTCTACGGTTCTATGTCGGTTTAGGGTTTAGGATTTAGGGTTTAGGATTCTCGAGCGACGGCAAGGAAAACACTACCCGGGGATTAGGGTTTCGGGTTTAGGTCACTAGCCTGCCAAAAGGTGCATGGTTGGCTCGTTGGAGCGTAATATGGATGTCTACACGGCTCCACTAAGTCTTGGGGAGGATTACACCCTTTGAACCGTAAACGCTACTCAAACTCTATAAGCCCTTTGAACCGCAAATGCTAAAACCCCAACCCTTAATTAGGTTTCCCGTCAGTATAAGGACCTTGAATAAGGTACCCTGGAATTGGTCCATCACTCCAATAATTTGCTGACATGGCGTGTACCAACTGTGCGGACGGGACACGCTTGGTGCTGAAGACGAAATCAATGTCTCCACCTGGAAGCACTTTAGAGGGCATATGATGTAGCATCATGACATTGCATGCATGCAAAAACTTCCGACCCAGAACAGCTGTAAATCTATTTAACATATTTCCCCGCCTATCTGCAGAGGTCCACATGCCTAGAACAAGTATAAACTTTGACGTCAAAGTACCTATATAGGAATGCACTTGATGGCCTCCGAACATACCTACAGTACTATGTAGGCACATGGACTCTTTAAGCAAATTGTATAGGGTTCGGTAGCAGGGGTGAACTTTCAATGTAGAGTGTATTGCTTCGGGCTACTATTACGATGTAGGGACCTATATTGCCAATAACAGTACCTGGGTTTCAATCGAACATGTCCAGATCCCGCAAGCAAGCAAACATGTAGCCTATTCGGGAGATTCCGAAAAGAGGGGACCCTAAATAAAAGTAGGATCCTTACTATAAGGACCCCAAAATACGGTACCCCTAATTTTCGGAAACTCTAAACCCTAAACCCTTTATAGAACCCTTATAGTACCCTTATAATAGCCCTTAAAGGATCCCTTTAAAGATACCCCTAATTTTCGGAAACTCCCATTTCTACCCAACACCAGGCCCAAGGACCCACAGAACCCCTGCACTGTGGGTTTGGTTTAGGGTTTAGGGTTTAGGGCTTAGGGTTTAGGGGTTTCGGGTTCAGGGGTTTAGGGATTATAGGGTTTAGGGAGTAGGGTTTAGGGGTTTAGGGTTCAGGGGTTTAAGGATTATAGGGTTTAGGGAGTAGGGTTTAGGGTTTAGAGTTTAGGGCCTACAAAGGGATCCGTAAGGCCTTAGGGTTCAAAGTTCAGGAACTAAGGGTTTAGGGTCTCGGGTTAAGGGATGCTAGTTGTGATTCCTTTGAAAGCTCTCTGAAAGGAACCTTTTAACCTCAGGCTTCATCAACCCCTATATAAGGCACATAAACTAAACTGCAGAGCCACTACAGAACCACCATAGAAACAGTAGAGAAGCATTAACAACTACTTACACACAAAGCCCCAAACCTAAATCCCAAACCAGTCTAAAAACACCCATACCCATAACCTTCGAGCCTTAGAGGAGCCTTTGAAGGAACATACATATTTATCTATATATATGTATATACACATACGCACATCTAGCATCCCTTTGCCGTAAATTCCGAATGCTAAACGCCAAGACACTAGACTTGAAACCCTAAACCCTTCTCGATCGCTTTAGTGAGTTTTGTTTGTCCTGGGCTTAGATACCCATAAGCATATACATATCACCTAAGATTACCCAACTAAACAAAGAAAAAACGTAGGCCTCGTAGACCTCCTCGAAGTCCTCCTGCGGCAACCACTGCTCCAAGGAGGCGGCGAAGAGGGCGATGGGACCGTCCCCCTGCTTCGGGCTTTACCCACAGGGGCCCCATAGTAGTTCCTTTTGGGGACTACCTTATAGGATTGTAAATATGAACCCCCAAAAGGAACTACTATGGGGTCTCTGGGTAATTTCAGGCTGTCGGATTTAGGAGTTTAGTGGTTTTGAGGCTAGGGGTTGAGGGCTTACGGTTAGGGGCGGTTAAGGTCGAGGCTTGGAAGTTTCAGCGCTTTGGGTTTCAAAAGCCTAAACCCTAAACCCCTCAACCCCTGAACCCTAAGGTTTACGGCTTAGGCTTAGGGTTTGGAGGTGCACTGAGGTTTACAGGGGCAGGGTTTAGGGCTTCGGACTTCGGGTGTGGATCCTCTATGGTTCGTTTGGGGGGACAACTTTGGGGGGACGGGTTTAGGGTTTAGTTCTCGTCCTAAAGGGTTCTAAGGCTTCCTTCAAGGAATCTAGCAGCGTTTCTGGTGTAGAGCTTCGGGGTTGGGGTCTGGAATGGGTGAAGATTTACAACCGATTTGTGCGTGGTGTTTGCCGACGTGATTTGTAAGGATGCCACAAACCCTAAGGATCCATATACCCAAATAGTATATACTCTTGCCTTAAAAATTCCCGCCATGTAGGTACATTGGGGGGGCAAAGTAGACATACTATTCGGGCACATGGACCCTTAGGGAAAGTTGTCGGTTTCAGGCTTACAGGTCCATCACTGTCGAGCTTCGAGTCTGTGGGCTTGACTCTGGGCTTTCTGAGTTCAAGCCGGGTGTCTTTAGGGCTTATAGGGCTTACGGGGCTTGGGGTTTACGGGGTTTGGCGTTTAGGGTTTACGGGGTTTGGGGGTTTAGAGTTTAGGGCTTTGGGTTTCGGGTGTGTCCATCGTGTTCGCTCGCTCAGGTGTAAAGAAAGCACCCCGAGCCGCTCGCTCCAGCATAGCTAAGAATTTCCCAGCCTCGACTCTGCTTGGGTTTAGGGTTTCTCTTCCTCAGCAGGAGGCTTTTTCCATTAAATGTCATTAAATGAACAACCAGCAGCGAATGCAACAGTAGCTTCATGTGGAGAGCTTCTCAGGTTTAGGATATGAAACATGTGCTTTTGCGCTCAGACGATTATTCAAACGTAGAATCGCGTCAACTACTTCTGCTTCACGTGTGGGCGCCCATCTTGTTGTTTCGGCGTGCTGACATACATCACATACGTGTATATATCCGAGTGAAGTAGGATCTCCGCCCCGCTGGGTAGTTGGCAGTAGTTGGATGCTCTGGTTGAAGTGGCGGGGTCAAGCCTTACCGGCGATCAAGTTAGTCTTCGTCTCGACGGACGCGAGACAAAGCCACGTAGGCGGCAGCGCGGCACTCGGGCCGATCGAGCCACAATGTAATGAGGGTCAAAGTTGGTCCCTGCACGTTCTGGACATAGCCAAGCCGAGCCGGGAAGAATCGATGTCGTAGGTCCCGACACATTCACGCAAAAGTTGTCGGTTTCAGGGTTACGCTTCCAGCGCTGTCAAGCTTCGAGTCTACGGCTTGGGACTTTGGGCTTTCCGGGCTCAAGCTGGGCGCATTTAGGGCTCAGGTTTTGCGGGGTTTGGGGTTTAGGGTTTACGGGGTTTGGGGTTTAGGGGATTTGGGGTTTCGGGTACAAAGCCTGAAACAAAAAACAAACATGCCAGAACCCTCATCGAGTAAGACTCCATCCCTGAAAGCCATTGAAACCTCTCAAGAACCCTAAACGCTAAACCGCTAAACGCGAATCAACTATCAGTCATAGGGGATCTTTACGTCAAGAATTCAGACCCCTAGGTGAACCCTACACCACAAACCCTTATAGAAGTCTTCTGGATTCTCGATCCTAAAAACAAACCCTTGAAAGACACTGATTAAAACCTAAAGTCAAAACTCCAAACTCCAACTCCTAAAACCTATAAATCCTAAGCCCTAACACGAAACCCTCAATAAATCCTAAACCCTAAACCCTAAATCCTAAACCCTACCTTAAGCCTGAATAACCTACCTATTTAGGGACCCTTATTATGATTTCCTTATATAAGTCCTTAAAAAGGTAGGTTATTCCGGGTTAAGGTAAGCTTTAAGTCCTCTACGATCAAGACACCGACCCAGCCTTTCCCGAGGGGACCAGCGATCCCGGTGTGTCCAGCACCAGGCCGCGATGTGATTCGCTCCACGCCTGGGTTACTTGGGGTTCAGGAAAGGGGTTTAGGGGTTTAGGGTTTAGGGGTTTAGGGTTTCGGGTTTAGGGATTTAGGGTATAGGGTTTAGGGGTTTAGGGTTTAGGGTTTCGGGGTTTAGGGTTCAGGGTCTTATAGCGAATCCCAGGAAGTGGGAAGATGGGTTTGGGAGGATTAGTGCTAGGATCCAGTATACTTTACCTTAAGGGCATAAGGATGCTAATGTTCCAACTTTCTCTATAGGCTATAGGGTTTAGGGGTTTAGGGTTTTGGAACTATTTGCGTAGTTCTCTCTATTCGGGTTTCTTTGAGGACCCTTTTTGTAAGGGTGCTGTACTATTACTATTTTGGGCGCCTGCAAAAGGACCCTGATTTAGACAAATACCCATTAAGGGTTCTGGTTTATATGTGTTGGGGAGCTTGGGGTTTAGGTTCGGGGTTTTGGTGCTGGGTTGGGCCCGAACCCCTCTCCAGGCCCATGGCCCATATAGGGAGGCCTTACCCTCAAACTTCTACTCTAACAACATCGTTTACGGTTTAGAGGTTTAGAGTTAGGGTTAGGGCTTAGGGTTTGAGTGTTTAGGAGTTTAGGGCTTAGGGTTGCTAGGTTTCTGAGTTTACCCGTTTTCCTAGTATTCGGTTTTGGTAAGGGGAGCCCAAAATTGAAAGGGCAACAGGGTACCACTCAGGAACCGACTTAAAGGATCATTCATGGAACTTAGTAACTATAGGGTTATAAGTACGATTACTGTACTTACTACTACTTACAACCCCACTTAGGGTACTCGTAACCATACTAACTAGGTCCCATGATCCTTCAAGTAGTGGCCGAGAATACTTGGGGCGTCTTGGTCAAGGCGCTGGTCTTTGACCCCTAAACGCCGAACCCTTGAAGCTGAAGCCCTGTTCGGATTTCAGACTGTTGTATGCTGAGGTGCGATTAGTAAACACCTGAACCCACATCCCTCATCCAAAACCCCTGAAAACGTTTACGGTTTAGGAGGTTTACGTAAACTTCAGAACCCTTTCTAAACCGTACGCCCTACTCCAAATTGTCCTTGGCACTGTTATGGGGAATACTCTCAAATCAAGATGGCTCCTAACGTAGAACCCCTACGCCACATCAGTAACAGACAACTGTGTCGTCCTCATTCGATCCATTTTCGCGCAGACACCATTCCTCGCAATAACATTCTACGAGAGTCCACGCTGCGGCTCAACATGGCTGATTGAGCAGTGCCCCCGTTTTAAAAGCGGCAATTGCGGCATGGTGCATTGCTGCCAGGTCAAGAGCTGCTTTGGAGCCCATCCGGAAAGCATTGGCAACTTCAACATGAGGGGAAATGTCGAACAGAAGAGCTGACTTGGTGTGCTGGTTGTGTCAGATCATGCCGATTATCTAGGTACTTAGGGCCCGTTGGGTAAACACCGCACTACAGTAATTAATGATTCCTAATCCATAGAACCCTGCATCCGACTATATAGGTAATTACTTAGGACCCTTTGGGTAAACCCTAAACCCTTTACCTTAAGCCCTAAACACTAACCTGTAAACCCTAAACTCTACACCCTTAACTCCTAAACCCCAAAACTATAAGCCCTAAACCATCCTGAACCCCTAAACTCTTAAGCACTAGACCACCCTAGCCCCTACACCAAGCGGCGACATCTATATACCCTAACCCTAAACCATATACACCCTAAACCTTAACTCCCTAAACCAAGCGGCGACATCAATACCCTAAACCCCTAAACCCCTAAACCCCCAACTACCTCAACCAAGCGGCGACATCTTGCCCACAGCACCATTCGAAGCGCACGACTTCTTGCCAGGGTCTCCCCGCTTCCATCCCAGGACTGGGATTCAGGGCTCGGGTTTCTTGAAGGGCTCCTTAAGGGAAGCTCTTAGGTTCAGGGTTCCGGTCTTCTTAAAGGGGTCCTTTAAGCGTTTAGGGGTTAGGGGTTATAGGTTTAGGGTTAGGACTTAAGTCTAGGGTTCGGGCTTCTTTACGGGTTCCTTTAACGGTTTAGGGGTTCGGGTTTAGGTCTAGTGTTCGGGTTTCTTTATTCAGGGTCCCGGCTTCCGGCTCCGCTTTGTCTTGTTAGCCCTAAGAGTCCATGTACCCAAATAGTATATACTTGGGCCTTAAAGTACTCCCTATATAGGTACATTGGGCCCCAAGTATACCCCATATGGGTACATGAACCCTTAGGTTATATAGTTCATTATTTACTGAATCTTGAGTAAGAGGACAAACATGTTCATCTTTCGGAGTATGAATGTCAATTGTTTCGTCATATTACAGGTATTTGTGCTGAACCTGTTCTATGCCTTGTTTTCCTTTGCGGGGTCTTCTTTCGGCTGAGGGTTTGTAGGCATTCTAGGGTTCACGCACAATGGAGTTAGGGTAACCCTGTTCGTTTGACAAGGTTTTAGGACCAAGGGCTTATGAAGAATTCTAAGAAGAAGGGGTTCAACTGTAGGGCTCAGGGACATCTTCTCGTGCACCTAGACATTTTGAGGTTTAGGGTTTAGGGTTTTTGGCCCAGCCGATAACCGCGATGCAAACAATCCGATGCATTTTCTTCTAGAAAGGCGAATGCATGCCTTGGGGTTGATGCTTAAGGCCAGGTTAGCGAGCTGTTTCGCCATCATCTGGTAGGTTTGGGGGTACAAGAATTTCTGTATACCGCAAACCCTACAAACAACTGTAAAACCTACAATCTACTTGAAGGCTCATGGGCTCGTGGGTAGCATTGGTAGGGTTATGTGCATCTTACATGGGGGGGGTCAACCCTTCACCACAAACCTAAATCAGAATCCCGAGACGGCTGTGGTTTATCCGTCTTCCCACCGCAAGTTGCAGCTTGAGAGGGGGGCTTCCAGGTGGAGGCTTCAGTACTTACAGCTTCGGACTGTTTGAGATGGTGAGGGTTTAGGGTTTAGGGCCGATCCGCAGAAATGAAGGGGCCTTTACTATTAGAACAGGGTTTTGGGGCCCACTATACTATAAAGAAATTAAGGAACCCCCAACATAGTATAGGCAATTATTGAGGCCCCTATATTAAGTGAAGATGTCTGATGCAGACCTAAAGTTTAACTTTACAACCCCCACGAGCCAAAATTAGCTGTGCTGAGTAGGCTGCCTGGTTGTTGCTAACGCTGTTCCATTCTGCGGGCTAGGCTGCCTGGTTGTTGCTAACGCTGTTCCATTCTGCGGGCAAGTGAGTCACTGAGACTTGATCGAAGCCTAGACCCAACCTATAGTCTCAAAGTTGATGTGTTCTTGCTTAATTAACCAATGGAAACTTATCAGGCATTGGAACTGCAATAAACCGTATGCCCTAAGCCGAAACACCCAAAGCAAGCGGGAAATTCCTCAACCTTGTGACCGGGGTCAGGACGTTGTGTGGAGGAAGGCTTCCAGCGCGACAGCGCAGAGGTGGCGGGTGTCCGCAGGCTTCGCCAAAGCGAGAGGCTTGCAAAGGACCTCGGATTCATAGAAGTTGACTCCCGAAGCCCTTTCCTTACCAACGAGTAGCCAAAACCCTTACGCTCCTTGATAAAAGGAGGTGCTGTAACTATAAGGAGCCGCCCATTGAAATAAAGACTATAAAACTCCATAGTCTAAGCCGGGCACGTCAGTCCGTCATTGAGGGCTGTTAAAACCCTCATAGCCCGAAGCCTTATAAACCCTGAAACCTCAACCTTGAACCCCAAATCCTAAGCGGTCCACACCCCCAACCCTCTACACCCCAAGCATTTAAGTTGAACCCTAAACCCGTGCCTGAATTAAGGTGTATACGCTTTGTGGTTTAGGTTTGGGGGTTTTAAGGTTTAGGGGTTTCGGGCTAAGGGCAGAAAACGTAAAACCCTACATGTAACACCTCAAGCCATGCAAAGCCATGCAGGACCGTACGCAAACACCAATAGCGCCCAAAAAAAACACATAAACAAAAAATAGGCTAGGCATATTCCATATAAACCCCCGGTATACTGAAGCCCAAAAAACTGAGGATATCCCTATAACATGCTTATGCGTATGTCCTTTTTGGGTCCCTAAACCAAGGCCCGGGCCCCTCGCAAGAGTGCCAGCACGGAGGGAAGTTTCGACCAGTCGAGCTCGCGACCTGGAGTTCAGGCTTCATGTGGGTGGTTGTCAAAATTATGGTTCCTTTTCGGGCCCTTATTATAATACGGCACCGAATATTTAGGGTACCCAAAAAGGACCCCAATTTTGACAACTATCCATGTAAGATTCGGTTTGGGGGTCTACTACAATAGATCCTCTTTATACGGACTGTAGATCACTCAAACTTCTCTATCATGGCCTTTTTGGACCCAGGAAAAGCTATAACGCTTTTCTGCCATAGCTCCTTCAAATCCTTATTAGACCCCGTCACGGAACCTCATGATTCTAGACTCACAAACCATAGCGACAATGGTTGAACACTCCCCTGCTGTAGCCAGTGTCTTTCCTCGATGTCAAGCGACTTCCGTGCACGTCTTGCACCGTCACCTCCAGGCTCTCGAATTCTTGTTTTACTCGACAAGCCACGCGAAGGACCGCTGCTTGCGCAACATCACGACCTTGCTTCGCCGAGCGACGCAGTGTAGCCGAGCTGCTTGGTCTCTAAACGATGCGTGGCTGTCAGAGCGCTTTCGACGCTCTTGGACATCGGCAACTCCCCGCGGTTGGCGAGCTTCGTGCAGCTGAAGCCAACCCAAGATCTCACCGGCAAGCTAGAGTCGCACGACGGCCCGTCGCAGGGCCCAAGGAGGCTGCCGACATGATTGGTCTTGCTACATATGTCACCTCCCGTACAACCGCATGATGAAGTGCCTAAAGCATTGCAACAGGGGCTGGCTGTAGGCTTGCTAATTCAGAAGTGGGAGAGCCTTCAGGTGCAGCAGAAGCAGGGAGACAGGGGCAGGTGGGGGTCAGGATTCTGAGTTACATGTTATAACATAGATGTATAGTTTTGCACGGTGTTATCTTGTATCATATTCGAAAAGCGAGAATACCTTGCTGAAGGGCCATCACCGAGGATTCGAACGTTTAGCGTCTATTTCGAGTCCCGCATTTCCAAAATACCCATCTAACTCAGGAGCTGAAGGCAACCACTGCCCTACGATACCCCTCAAAGCAGACCATGGTGTAGCCTTACAGTAGCCATTACGAAATTCCGAACAAATCTTTATCCTATACCGCCTATAAGCTAAACCTTGTAGTCACAATGTTGCTACTTCACCGACTAGCTTACAACTAGGCAATTCAGCGATTCAGGACTGCTGCAGTTGGGCTCATCTCGTGACGTCTAGGAGTCTAGGGTTTAGAGCTTAGGGGTTTAGGGTTTAGGGGTTTTGACACGAACTACCATCGTACACCTGCGAGCATCCTGGACGCTGCGAGTGTCTGGCAATTTAATTCTCCTCAGACAGGCAGACAGAGATAAACCCATCAACCCCAAGAGCCCAAGTGCTCGGGCCTTTGGGATTTTAGGTGCCAGCAGCCATTCAAAGTGTGGTGTTTATGGGAGTTGGGGGCCCAAGCCCTACTGTTTGGGTACTGGGAGCCTACTTCCGAGGCCCTGAAAACGGTTTGTTGGAGCTCCTTGTTAGGAGCTGTGATACGCCAGGTCTTGATTGCTGCTTTCCTACCGTCGGAGTGGTGACTGGCCCCTGCAAGGACTTTTCTGCAAAGGACGCCGCTGCGTGCGGCCGCGCGCCTGAATGCTTGGCGTCCTCCAGCATTTGTGCCCGCAACACCCACCGGCAGGAATGAGCCGCGAGAACCTCGGGACGGCAGCCGCGACGCAGAGCATCTGCAAAGGCTCCCGGACCGCAAAAGTGAACAAAAATGTCATGGAGGTTTCCGTTTTTGAAACTCCAATAGCAGCAGTACGAGCCATCTCGAAGGCCTGGGTGTGCACTTAAGCTAATGATTCGTCGGCAGGTTTCATGCTAAGGGCTAAGCCATCTTCAATGTGAGTTATTGAAGGTTTTGTCAGGCTGCTCGAGCCTCATTGCACGAGCACCCGTCGAATCATTCAAGAGACAGGCCGCATCATGAACATCTGGAAATGCCAGAGGAACTCCCAGCCCCGCATGCATGTGAATCTGATTCAATGCTGCCCTGGCACAGCGATCGCCTGTAGGGCAGTCGGACCAGAGTTTGCCGGAGAGACCAGCGCCCCAGGCAATAACGCAGCCATCGGCTCGGAGGGCAGCGAAGGCCGAGCGCGTGGCGACAAGGTCCACAACGTGCCACAAGGGCAATGTGTTCAATCCGAAAGACCACATAAGCTCCGGCGTGTGAAGGTTGCCGATTCGAAAGTACGAAGGAGTCTCTCCTCTGGCATGTTGGCACCGAACAAGGACCAAAACGCTGCACGATGCGTGGCAGTCGTTTATAAGCCAAAGCTTGCATTCGTCAAACATATGCGCGTGTGGCGCTCACGTCCCGCTTTTCGGAGTCCCCGGCCCGCCACTTGATCATAGCCAAAAGGCAGCTGAGCACTGTGAAGCTTGTTAGGAGCGGTTCTTCCAAACACGGCCTGCAATTTCCGGAACTAGCTGGACTCGCTAGTGTGTTAAATGGCATCCTTCATTGTGGATGATTTCGTTTGTCTCAACAAGATTGCCCCACTCGACACGCTTGTGATTTATATATTTCGGTAGCACTCTTCCTCACTCTGGGCTTCGCGATGCCATATACGTTTATTATAGTTTTCTCGCAAGAGATCACGCTGCGCCCGCGCTCACACAGCAGCGGCCCTCGGTGATCGGGGTAGCACAAAACGCCACTTGGAGTTGTCGCCGCTTCTGTCTGGGTTCGGTGCAGCATGCCAGGGGGCAGATCGGAGGGGGGGACCACATCCAGGATGTATAGCTCGAGGCCGCGGTCCACGCATGTACTTCCTCTCGAGCAGACAGAAGCCGACCAGTCGCCTCCATCATCAGATGTATCTGCTCGAGCATCTCCGCTCCCGTGGCCCCCTGATCGATGTCGCTGCCTGCTCGATCCTACGCTGCATCTGTGAATGCCGCACCTGCACATACCAGGAGGACGGCCGGGCGGGAGTGCGTACAGAACACCCCGTTCCCTCGGCACATTCGGGTGCGAAACCTGTCTGCCAAGGCTGAGTGCCGGGCTCATCGAAGAGGTGCTGCAAGAATCCCACAGGAAATCTTTGCCCCAAGCCGGACGAACCGGCAAGGGACTCAGGAGTCCTTGGGCTTCCCGACCTCTTTTGTCCTTCCAGTCATCCTGTCAAAAAGCAGACTGCTTTGCTGTAAACTTGAACACACCCGCACCTTCTTCCAGACAGCACACAAGGTGCTGTCAGACTCAATGGCTGCAGCTTTCAATCGCGACGCTGGCCTTATTGGCCATCGGACAGAGCTGGGCAGGCGCTGTCACTTACCAGGAGATCTGGCCTGAACTCCTGTCCCGGCGCTTGCTTTTGCACTCGGCCAAACAGCTGCATTCGACGGTCCTTCAGCGGGCCCTCAGCCAGGGCAGTCCTGAAGACACCTATGCCCAGTTTTTAACCCTAAACCTCAAATCCAAATTCCTAAACCCTAAATTTGTTGACCATGAACCCAAAACCCTCCAAAGCTTAAGCCCTTCGCCGATTGCCGCTTTGCCAATTGAACCCCATCCAGAGACCGGCCTCCATGTTTCTGAGCTCGGGATGGCCCTAAACCCCAAACCCGGTTTAGGGTTTAGGGTCCTTAAAAGGGATCTATAAGGGTTCCTTAATGGGATCTACAAGGTTCCTTATAATGGCATCTATAGGGTTGAGGGTTTAGGCCCTACTTGGAGGGTCATGGGATTTAGTAACTAGGGTTATAAGTACCCTAAGTGGGGTTATAAGTAGTTATAAGAATATAGTTACCTTATAATTCTAACCCTAGTTACTAAGTCCCATAATCCTCTAAGTACCTATAGACTGCATTGTAGTCCGTTGTTGGTAAAACCAACTTGATATTTAGGATCCTATAAGGTAACCCCACCAAGCAATTTCAATGGAGTCGCTAAACCCTGCGCCCTAAATTTACCCTCAAACCACCCTAAACTCTAAAACCGAACCCCACATTCCTTCACCCAAACCCCAAAACCCCAAAACCCGGACTCCTTAAACCTGTCCGCGTCAAGAGACGAATCGCTCCGTCGCTGAGTGCCGACGTGACGTCGGAGGCGGCCTCCGACTTTCAGAGGGCTCTTTTCTGGGTTTAGGGTTCCCTTACTTGGAGGATCATGGGACTTAGTAAGGTGAAAAGTACGCTATACCCTAAGTGGGGATATAAGTAGCGAGACGTACGGTTACCTTGATTGTAACCCTAGTTACTAAGTCCCATGATCCTGTAAGTAAGGGTTTCTACAAGGGTTCCTTTAGGGGCTTCTATAAGGGTTCCTTTAAGGGTTTCTATAAGAGTTCCTATGAGGGTTCCTTAAAGGGTTTCTATTTAAGGGTTTCTGTAAGGGTTCCTTTAAGTTTAGGGCTTGGGGTTCCGGGTGATCTTACAGGTTCGGAGTATGGAGGTTGTAAGATAAGGGCCAAGGAAGGGATTTACACTGGCTCGATTTCAGGTCGTATTGTTTTCGGCTATTTTCGGGATATGGAGACTTGATACTGCTTCTTCTGTGCTCTTAAGTAACCAGGGAGAAAAAAGTATAAACTTTTATTTCATAATGGTTCCGTTACTGAAAAAAGTATTAAAGTATGGTACTCCAAAGCCCAGTCTTTTCAGGCTGCCTTCAAGGGTTTGGATGGGCCCAGGGATTGTGCTTTGGGGGACCTCATAAAACCGTACCCCCTACTTAAGGGATCATGGGACTTAGTAAGTAGGTTATAATTGGGGTTATAAGTCCCCTAAGTGGGGTTATCCGAAGTATAACCTACTTATAACCTTACTTACGAAGTCCCATGAGCCTTTAAGTACCCAACAAACTAGCTCTAAGCCGTAAACTCTTAACCTTTTAAACTCCAAACGCTAACTCCAAGAACACCCCAAAAGCAGTCCCCAAACCCTATAAACCCCCATAGATCCCTTAAAGCCTTACCCAAATCCCTAACAATAGCCCCCAAACCCTAAACCCTCATAGATCCATTACAGCCTCTAAGCGACCCTTACACGACCCAAGTCGCACGGTTCCATTGGCCTGGCCTGCGCCAGTCCGTGCAGGGCAGCCGGCGCCGGGAAATCTGCGAGCTTCCGGCGGCAAGGGTTTAGGGTTTAGAGGTTTAGGGGTTAGAGCTTTTAGGTCTTATTCCTTTAAGGGTTCCTTTCAGGATTTCCGTATAAGGGTTCTTCAGGGCACCATGACCATTTGCTGTTTGGAAGCTTTCTATCCGTTCTTGAATTGGTTTGTTGCTTGTGTTTTGGGCTGTAGGGTTAGGGTGTATCAGGTCCAGCAGAAGGATCGGGAGTGTTCGTACGGTGGAAAGCTAAATATAACGCGAAACGCAGCCACCCTAAACCATGAACCTCCGAGCAGAGCTGAGGCAGTTTCGGCTAAGAGTTTGGCATTTAGGGTTCAGGGTCTATAGGATTTGGCATTCAACTTCCAGGCATTATGGCATGGACGACTTATGTTGTAACGCAGCCTAAACAATTATCAATTTCTGGGTGTTCCTTATAAATTATAGCATAATATACCCCAAACCCTAGTCTAACTATAATGCCCGTACATTCTGAAGGTAGGCTTTGTAAAGGCCTCGGAGGGATCGGCGGTTTCGGCATCTACTCTGCATTTTACACCGTGTGTCTCCAAGGCACAAGGATTGCAGCCTATGTCCACAAGGGCGTGAAGGGTGTTTGGCTTCATGTAGAGTTTAGGGTTCAGGAGGAACCCATGCAGGGATTCTTCTGAAAATACCCTAAACCCTAAACCTCTAAACCCTAAATCCTAAAGACGACAGCGCAAGCTTTGTGACAAGTCTGACTCCCGATCCCTTCAAGGTGTAAGCCGAAGAGCTGCTACTTGCAGGTTGAAGGGTACTGAACAAAAAGGAGAACATGTTGGGTGTTCGATAAAGCTTAAACATGGGATTAGGAGTTCTGTTATGGTGGTAAATTTATGTCAGCTCGTATTCTGTTGCTTATGGCAATTAATTAATTGTTCTTGTTATTATCTACCTTCAGTCTGTCGAACTTGTTCTATGACAGAATAAACTGGTCTTTGCCTCACCTCGTTACCTTATTTAGTAGGCTCACCTGATCCTATAATACTACAAACACGTAACCCCTAGACTCATAGACGAACGCTTGAAAACATCTCTATCGCAGTTCTGCTAATGTACCTACATAGATATACTTAGGCCTGCAAGTACCTATATAGGAACCCCTTCAACTTAAGTTGCGGCCTAAGTAAGTATACGCTATACAGGTGTGTGGGACCCTGAAGGTTAACTACTTAAAGGACCATGGGACTTGGTAACTAGGGTTACAATTAATGTAACTGTACTTATAACTACTTATACCCGCACTTAGGGTACTCATAACCTTACTTACTAAGTCCCATGATCCTCCGAGTACACCCTAAACCCTAAACCCTATAGATCCCATTATAAGGAACCCTATAGATAGTTATAAGGACCCCTTAAAGGAACCTTACTTACTAAGTGCCATGATCCTCCAAGTAAAGGACCAGCCCTCGGCCTTGCAATGCATGGAAGATTCGAATGCACAGCTGTAGGAACAGCCACCCGCCATCGCTGTGCGCGGCCAGGTGCCCCTGAGAAACCAGAAAGGTCCAAAGGTTAGGGTTTAGGGGTTTAGGGTTGCAGGGTTTAGTTTAAGGTTTAGCGGTTGGGGTTTAGGGGTTTAGGGTCTAGGCATTCCGGTATGCGGTTTAATTTCGGGATCTTTATCTTGTACGGGCTGGACGGAATAAATTGCATTATGATCCTGTTGTTTGACTTTCTCGAGCTTCATGTGGTCGAAAGAGTACATGATTATTGGGCACTTGAACCCTTAGATTTCTTGCTACCGCTCACAAAGGGCCAGGATGTTACGGTTTGGGTTGCTGGGGCAGGAATCCTTAAACGAGCCCTGAAACAGTCGCTTCAAGTCTTTACAGGAATCGAACCCTCCAAGGAAATCCTGAAGCAACCCCTTACACCCAAAGCGTCCTTGTGCCTTTGTAGCAGAATGTAGGAGTTCTGTATGAGGATTTTATGATTTGGGAAAGAACACCTAGGACCTTTTGCGAAAGGAACCCTCCCGAAGCCCTAAACCCTGAGACCCTGAGCCCCCAGAATTATAGGATCCTTAAGGGAGGGTGGTTCAACGGGGGGAGGGTATAAGGAATCCTTAGGGGACTGTAAGGGAACCTTAGGGAGTACTAGGCAGAATTAGGGATCACTAGGCTATATACCCCCCTTGGACCCCCCTCCCTTAAGGATACTACAACAGAACCCTGAATCCCTAAAAACCCTATAAATCCTTAAACCTCGGATCCCGAACAGCCCTTAACCCAAACTCCAAGCGGAAGGAATCCTTGCTGCACCTTAACCCCTAAACCCTATAAATCATAAACCCTCAACCCCAAAACCAAACAAACTCTACAAACCTTACTCCTTAATTCCTATCAACACCAAAAAAACTATAAATCCTATGACCCCTAAACCCTAAACCTTATACTAAACCTTATAGCTCCCTGTAAAAGGTGCTTAAAGGGAAGCCTATTAATTTTCTAATACAACCCTAACCTCCTCAATCCCAAAATTACGGTGCTACCCGGACCCCCGACCTGCGCCGAGTCGATGTTTAAAAGGAAGCCTCTTAGATTAATACAACCCTAACCTACTCAATCCCAAAACCACGGTGCTACCCGGACCTGCGCCGAGTCAAGGATGAGTCGCAGCAGGTGGTGGTTGGGCTCCGCGGGCCAGAATTTGAGGACCTGACGAGGGGGCTTAGGCTTTGGGATGCATTGGGGTTTATAAGGGTTGAGGGTTTACGGTTTGGGGTTTAGGGCTTCCCAGAGACTCCAATACCCCTTAATTAAGGAATATACCTTACATCATATTAGGGATCCTACTATAATTTAAGGTATATTCCTTAACTAAGGGGTATTGGAGTCTGTGGGTTGGGGTTTGGGGTTGAGGGACTTGGGGTAATTATAACCTACTTATAACCTTACTTACTATGTCCCATGAGCCTTTAAGTATAAGCCTTAATTTAGGGCTCTTAGGGTTCCTTTAAAGGGATCTTTAGGGTTCCTTTAAGGGGTCCTGAGGGACTTGGGGTTGGTTTTGGATCTTGATTGGATTTCTGTGGTTTTGAGTGGAGCGGATTCCTTGATTTGAGGGTTCGTGTGTTGGCTCCAAGGATCTTTCAATGGATCCAGACCGGCTGCAATCAATACATACATTTACATACATATATATATATATATATATATATATATTCATGTATGTATAATGCCTGCTTCATTCCGGATCTGTTAGCAGCGGGCAGAAAGTGCGGGTTTGGCGTTCGGGTGTCTTTTAGGACGTAAGATGTGTGCTTTGGGCTGTTTGGGCATCGGGTTTAAGGGTTGAAAACTCCCTACAGACCTACTATATAGGGCATTAATTCTTGGAACAGCGTTTTGGGGCCCATTATACTGTACTTGGAACCCACCGCCAGAAGAGTATTGGTAATTATGTTGGTCCCTATATCCTTACGGTACAGACCGGCAAAAGCCCATGATGGCACCTGGGCTGAGCAGCTGGAAGCAACCAGCCGGGCGCCCGGAACAGGTGCCACCTGCAGCTCTTCAACGGGTTTATGAAGGGAGCTGCTACACGCCTTCCGAACGGACTTAGAAATCGGCTTCAGAGTAGAGGATGCTTGAAGAATCAAGAATATGAGTGTCGTTTTGGTTGCTTGCAGGGTCTGGGGTGCAGGGCTCTGTGTGTTTCTGGCTCAACTGTTGCAACTGCGTTTCAAGCATCTTGCAAGATTGGGCCGTCCTTTCTCGAGTCGTCGGCATTGCACTGCACGCATAAAGCTCTGGGCTTCCCAAAGCAAACTACTTCTGTCGGCCACCTTCCAACTCTTGGGGAATGCAGATGTTAATTGGCTTCGAACAGTTGAAAGCAGGCTCGAATCAGGTTGTGGCAAGTAGTACTACTGTAGCGCGTAGTTCTAAAGTGTGAAAATTGAAGCTGAAACCTTACAACCCTTGACATGAATCCGACAGAATTCACGCTCGCTCTGCATTCACCCAAGACCCTAAGCCCCTAAACCTTGAACCCTGTAGTCCTAGCCCCGAACCGAAAGAAGGCGGACTCCTTATGCCCTGGCTACCCTGTGAAGCAAAGTCACAGGTGTAGGGTTTAGGGCTCATAGTTTTAGGCTTTGGGGTTTTGGGGGTCCCCATTAAGGGTCCCTCCTTTTCCCCTAAACCCTAAACCCCTAAGGACCCCTTAAAGGAACCCTAAAGATCCCTTTAAAGGAACCCTAAGAGCCCTAAATTAAGGCTTTTAGGGCTTAAAGTCGCTCGGGGCTTATACCTGGACCCTAAGAAACCCAGATTTGTAGGGTTCCTTAATATGATTTCCTTATATGGGTCCTTAAAAAGGTATATAGGTTATTTGGGGTTAAGGTAGGGCTTACAGTCGATTCAGGGTTTAGGTACTTCTTTTTGTGAGGATTGCAAAGCGCCAAACGGATTTACAAGAGCAAGCACGAGATGAGGGAGGAGTTTAGAGGGCCTCTATACCCAGAGACTCCAATATCCCTTAATTAAGGAATAGACCTTAAGTTATAGTAGGATCCCTTATATGATTTAAGGTATATTCCTTAATTAAGGGATATTGGAGTCTCTGGGTAACTAGGATGCCCAGTAACCTAGCAATAAAAAGGGCTCCCTTTTTGATATTGGGCAACTGTATAAGGAACCTAGGACTATAAAAAAGGAACAAGGGTACTACTGGGCATCCTAGACAATCGTCGTAAGCCTAAGTCACATCCTTATCCCAAAGCCCAAGCCCTAAACTCTAAACTCTAAACCCTACTTCGAGGATCATAGGTTATAATTAGGGTAACTATACTTGTAATTACTTCTAACCCCACTTAAGGTACTTATAGCCGTACTTACTCAGTCCCATGATTCAGGCCCTAAACTAAACCCTAAACCCTATAATACCCTTGTAGATCCCTTTATTGGAACCCCAATAGTTCCTTCAACCCTAAACCCCATGCTCTGTAGTACCCTACATTGTAGATCCCTTATAGGATCCTTTATACTTCCTTCAAACTAAAGGAGCCCTACCTATAGTCTCCATTGTAGTTCCTTTTCTTGGTTAACCAGTTTTATGGTTGGGATCCTATAATAGGGGTTTTGGTTAACCAAAATAAGGAACTACAATGGAGACTATAGGTAGCTCTTTAAACCCTACATTCTACTATATCGGTACATTGGACCCTTTGGGAATTGAAGGAGCCCTAAGCGTGAGGCCTTGCGGGCATAGGTGCGGCCGCCCGGCCCAGCGCCCAGGGAGGCGGCGCGGAGGAGGGACGAGAGCTCCTGGAGCTCCTCCGGGGGGGGTTCCTTTGAAGGGATCTATAAAAGCTCCTTTAAAGGGACCTAAAGGGTTTAGGGTTTAGGAATTATAAGGGCTCCTTAAGGGGATCTATAGGGTTCTTTATAAGGATCCATAGGGTTTAGGGTTTACGGCTTTAGGGTTTAGGGGAAGGGGGAGGGGGGTAGGGGAGGGGCTTTTAGGGTTGCTTTAAAGGAACTTTAAGGGCTCCTATAATACAAGGGATCTATAAGGTCCTATAGGGGTTCAAGGGGGTTTGGGTTGAGGGTTTAGGGCTGAGGGTCTAGGAGAAATTCCAATAGAACTGCGCACTGTGTTTGATGCAGGTTTCATCGTGGTTTACAAGGAAATTAGAAGTAGATTGAAACTAGAAGTAGACATAACTATGGTTACCCTACCTACACCCTACCTACTGAGTCCCCTGATCCAAGAAGCACCAGGAAGCCGAGCTAGCGCAACAACAAGTGGATGTCCAGGGATAGTAAAAGTGGAAAGGGCACCACCGGCCGTTGCTCCGGCTTGTGCATGCGTACCATATGAGCCATTTCTCGAATTTTTTGGAAAAACACCACTTCCAGCGTGCAGTCTGACGGTTACATGTCGGACACAAGCCTTTTGGACCTGGTAACTTGTCTCGCCCTGGGAATTCCGGTATGTCGCCCAGCAGCTGACACCTTCGCTTCAGGACTCATGAGGCCAATGGGGCGAAGCGATGCAGGTTGGGATGGGGCTTTGCCGGGTTTGGGGAGCCATACAATCCAGGCGTCCGTCCATGGTCACAAGGATTATACCGTTCAAAAGGGTCTCGTGTAAGGGTTCTATAACGTTCTGAAGGGTCTGGTATACAGGATTGATGGAGTGTTGTGAGGGCTGAATGGGGCCTTATAGGGTTTGAAGAGGGGTTCTATAAGGTCTTTACAGAGGGTGCAAGCAGTGTTCAGCATGGCTGTATAGAGCCAGGTTCTATCTTCAGGATGCTGCTGCATTCGATAATCATCTTGAATGGAAAGATTCGGACTCAAAGCTGCCCTAACCCGAAACCCTAAACCCTAAACCCGAAACCCGAAACCCTAAATCCGAAACCCTAAACCCTAAACCCTAATCCGAAACCCGAAACCCTAAACCCGAAACCCTAAATCCGAAACCCTAAACCCTAAACCCGAAACCCGATACCCTAAACCCAAAAACCGACACCCTGAATCCTAAACCCGAAACCCTAAACCCTGAACCCTAAACCCGAAACCCCAAACCCGAAACCCGATACCCTAATCATCGTGGTGGAAGAGTCTGAGACGAACTCTCTGACTTCCCTACAGAAGGTCATTGGCTTAGATAGAGTTTCGGGATTTCTTTGGGGTTTAGGGCTCCTTAAAGGGGTCTATATAGGGTTCCTTAAAGGGATCTATAGGAGTTAGGGTTTAGGGTTCAGGCTTAGGGGCTTAGGGTTCGGGATGCACATGTTGTCAGGTCTTCGTTGATCCTGCTACTTTTGAATACGATGCTAGTATAGGTATACAGCCGTGATGTCGCATTGCTTAGAGCCTAGGGGCCTTAGAGTAAGCAACCCTGAATCCAAGATCTGAATGCTGAATGAATCTCGGGTTGTGGTTGTTTTTTTGAGAACCTTTTCCCTGAACCCTAAACCCTAAACCCTACATCTTAAACCCTAAACCCTAAACCCTAAAGCCTAACCCCTAAACCTTAAACCCAAACCCTAAACCCTAAAATGGAAGGCGGTGGAGGAGTTTCGGGTCTGAGAGTTAGGGGTTTAGGGTTTAGGGTTTAGGGTTTAGGAATTAGGGTTTAGGGTTTAGGGTTTAGGGTTTAGGGTTTAGGGTTTAGGGTGGGTTTAGGGGTCTGTGGCCAATTACCATCGACACTTCTTCAACTCTACAGTAGAAGCCAGAAAGTTGGAACATCATTATCCTCATGCCCTTAAGGTAAAGTATAAGGGATCCTAGCACTAATCCTCCTAAAGCCATGTTCCAACTTTCTGGCTTCTACTATAAAGCCTAAACATCTAGGTTTCTGCATGTCCTCAGACTCCATGTCGCCAAGTGCTTGGCTTCCATGGCTGTTGTGGCTCGGCTGCACAAAAAGCAGGGCTGTAGGGTTTAGGGTTAAGAGGGTTTAGGGTTTAGGGTTCAGAGTTAAGAGTTGAGGGTTCAGGGTTCAGGTTTACGGATTTGGATTTTAGGCAATCTAGTGCTATAGTTCCGGGCTTAGGGTTCTGTTTAGGGATTAGGGTTTAGGGTTTAGGGTTTAGGAATTAGGGTTTAGGGTTTAGGGTTTTGCGTCTTATGCCCATGAAGGTGTAGGCGTCTAGTTGCTCTTGTGTGGTGGGGAATCTTGGAGCACTGACTGTAGCACTAGGCTTACAGTTTATGGCTAGGTTTGGTTCTTCTAAGCGCCCCTAAACCCTAGACCCCAAAATCCCTAGTCGGGAAGGCGAGACGGCCTTGCTGGCCTTCTTACCAAGTCATGGCTAGGGTTTGGAGTTTAGGGTTTTGGGCCCTTGAAAGGGTTCTACAACGGTTACTATAAGGGTACTATAAGGGATCTATAGGGGTACTATAATAATGTAGGAACCAGATTAAGACACCTTGGGCCTTTTTTAGGGTTCCTTATATGAGCCCTACTATGTTGGGAGTCATAGGCCCAGGGTTTCTTAATTAGTTTCCGACCTTAGGAGCTCAGAGTTTGGATTCTGAGTGGATTTAGGGTTTACCCAGAGACTCTAATACCCCTTAATTAAGGAATATACCTTAAATCATAGTAGAGACCCTAATATGATTTAAGGTATATTCCTTAATTAAGGGGTATTGGAGTCTCTGGGTAGTTAGTTTGTGGAGCTCAAGGTTTAGGGTTTTGGGCTTAGAAGCTTCTCTGCTCGAAGCCTTGCGCCCTCATGAGCAGCTGCAGCATTCAAGATAATGACCTAAGTCCGCCCTGTGCTGCATCCGACCTCACATATCCTAATGCGTAGTCGGAATGGGGGTTCTGCATGCTACCCTAAACCCTAAACCCTAATCCCTAAATCTGTCTCGTAGACACTCCCGTTTGCAGACCGAAAACCGACTGGTGGAACTCTTGCAGTCTTACCCATAGGCCCTATAGTAGTTCTTTTTGGGACTACCTTATAGAGTTCCAAATATGAGCCCCATAAAGGAGCTGGCCTTTGGATAAAGCCGCCCTGACCCGGCTAAAGCCTAAACTCTAAGCTCAGCGCCCTTTAAGGAGCCTAAGCCCCTACCTACTTAAAGGATCATGGGACTTAGTAACTAGGGTTATGACTAAGGTAACCATACTTCTAATTACATATAACCCCACTTAGGGTACTTATAACCATACTTACTAAGCCCCATGATCCTCCAAGTATAGTCTCCGTTGTAGTTCCTTTTTTTTGGTTAGGTTAACTAACCAACTTTATGGTTAGGATCCTATCATAGAGATTTTGGTTAACCACAAAAGGAACTACAATGGAGACTGGTAAACCCTAAATGCTAAACTGCATTAAATAACAACCCTCAAGATCAAAGCCGGATACTGTAAAGTACACCTCCGCACCCGGCTCTACAGTCCTTACGGCTTAGCTCAAGGTTTGGGATTTAGGGTTGAGCCTAGATCCCCCAACCCCCAAAATACCCACTGCTAAGGACCATTATACCCCAAAATACCCACTATTAAGGACCACGAGGGCTCCATTAGAGGGGTCCTCTGGACCCCTTTCGGGGGAGGTTGAAAATCGACCGGATTTGAAACAAAAGGCCCAGGGATGATAAAAGAACAGGCTGCAAGAATCCAATACCCGATCTCGAAATTTTGCCCTAAAGTAGTTCCTTTTTGGGGTTCATATTTAGAATTCTATAAGGTAATTCAAAAAGGAACTACTATGGGGCCTATGGATGGAGCCTAACTGCCTCTAAACCCTAAACCCTAAACCTTAAACCCTAAACCCCTAAACCCTAAACACCTAAACCCTAACTGCATCTGGTGAAGAAAAAGGAGCCAAGGGACCTCTGAGACTTTAAACTCTAAGAGCCCGTAGCGTACATGCCGGCTGAACCCTCTACTTGGAGGATCATGGGACTTAGTAAGTAAGTTTACAAGTACCCGAAGTGGGGTTATAAGCAATTATAAGTGTAGTTACCTTAATTGTAACCCTAGTTAATAAGTCCCATGATCCTCCAAGTACCTTACACCCGACATCCCCGAACCCCCCACCCCCGAACCCCGAACCTTTCGTCAGAGCAAAGCGGAGCAGATCAACCCTACACCCTAAAACCTAAACCCTAAGTCCTAAACGCTAAGTCCCAAGCCTTAAACGTTAAATCCTAAGCCTTAAACCCTAAATCCCTAACTCTAAACCCAAAGTCCCAAGCCTTAAACCCTAAACCCTAGGCCTTAAACTCTAAATCCTAAACTCTAAGCCCTCAACCCTGGAGCAGGTCCGCACCACAAAGGTTGTCAGCAGGTAGACGAGGTACACTCGGACGTAGGGCTCCCACTTCTGCCAGACACCTCGGGTCCCAGCCCGCGCGAGCCCTGAACTCTAAACTGGGGTTTAGGGGTTTAGGGGTTTAGGGTTTAGAGGTTTAGGGGTTTAGGGTTTAGGGTTTATAAGGTTTAGGGTTCAGCAGCTCCGGGTCGAGCAGTTTTATAGTAGAGTTGTATTTTCGGTCTTGATATAACACCCACCCACACATAGAATCCCATAACATTAAGCAATATAAAGTTCTTTCATCATCATTCAGAGAGTTCTACCTACAACTTAGCTTGTCAAACTAAGCCCGAAACCTTAAAGCCCAAACCCTAAGCCCTAAACCCTAAAGCCCAAACCCTAGGCCCTAAACCCTAAAGCCCAAACCCTAGAGCCCTAACCCTAGGCCCTAAACCCTAAAGCCCAAACCCTAGGCCCTAAACCCTAGAGCCCAAACCCTAGAGCCCAAACCCTAGGCCCTAAACCCTAAAGCCCAAACCCTAGGCCCTAAACCCTAAAGCCCAAACCCTAGGCCCTAAACCCTAAAGCCCAAACCCTAAAGCCCAAACCCTAGGCCCTAAACCCTAAAGCCCAAACCCTAGGCCCTAAACCCTAAAGCCCAAACCCTAGAGCCCAAACCCTAGGCCCTAAACCCTAAAGCCAGACCCTAGGCCCTAAACCCTAAAGCCCAAACCCTAGGCCCTAGTTTTTCTCAGTTTTCTTCCGAAATACCGCGAACGGATGCGGCAACCAGAGCCCAAACCCTAGAGCCCAAACCCTAGGCCCGTTCGTGGTTTTTCTCAGTTTTCTTCCGAAAACCGCGAACGGATGCGGCAACCAGATTCTCAAAAAACAACCCCACGAAAAAGGCGAGCAACCGAGTATGTTGCCCCATGCGTTCGCAGACATTTGTTTTTTTTATTTTGGGGGAAATTTGCGGAACCTGTTCGCGGTTTTTCGGAAGAAAACTGAGAAAAAATCAGTTTTCTTCCGAAAACCGCGAAAGGCATTAAGGTTTATATACATAAATAATAGGGGTTTAGGGTATAGGGTTTAAGGTTTAGGGTTTAGGGTTTAAGGTTTAGGGTTTAGGGCTTTAGGTTTAGGGCTTAGGGGCAGTTAGGCTCCATCCATAGGCCACATAGTAGTTCCATTTTTAAACTACCTTGTAGAATTCTAAATACGAGCCCCCAAAAGGAACTACTTTTGGGCCTTTGGGTGAACCCGGCCTTAACCCCTGAAAGCCCTGCCTCTGCAAGGACATATATATACTTATATACACAAATCAAGTAGATCACTCTGGATGGTATATTGCATGCAGCATGCGAACGAGAATCCGGCATGCTACAATCTCTACGCATTAGAGAAGGCCCAGGTTGAAGAAATTCAGCGTTTAGGGCGACTCTTGGCTTTCCATAGTGTCGGCCTCGGATAGGGTCTGCGTGGTAGGTGCAGGGACGGACAGTTTAGGTTTAGATTGCGAGAGTCTTGCCGTGGAGTACCTGAAAGGAGTACTTACATCCCTAATATCAATCAGATATCAACCTCAACAGCCTCTACTCGACAGCAATAGAATCGTACAAAAGTCGGTTAGGACATCTTCTTTTGACTGACGAAGAGCTTCCAAGCCAGGTTCCATGTCGACGACCGCAGCCGCAATCCCCAAAATCGCTGAACTCTTCAACCCATATATGGGTGGTTGTCAAAATTATGGTCCTTCATATAGTACGGCACCTAATATCTAGGGTACCCAAAAAGGAACCATAGTTTTGACAACTACCCATATATGGTTCCGGGTTTAAAGGGCTAAGGTGTATGGTTTAGGTCCAGGCCTTGTGAGGATTAGGGTTGAGGGTTTGAGGAGACGGTTTAGGGTTTAGGGTTTAGGGTTTAGGGTTCTAGAACCCCTGGAAAACCATTACACTCTCACAAGAGCCTGTTGCCACGCCGCCCCCCCCCCCAAGAGGAGTTTGTGGACGCACTTCACGCCCCCAATCCGGCCACGGTGCCCATGTATCCGATGACCGTGATGGGCAGTCCCATCAGCATGAACATCGTCAGACCCCTGGCATGTGCAGCTTGTGACCAAAAACCAAGCTGAAAATGATTGTATGCATAGGTATACGGTATACATTTTTCACTTCTCTCTCTATCTCTAGATCTGTATATATATATATATATATATATATATATATATATTACACAGACACACAGGTTGATATACACAAATACACACACACCTACATACACATACATGCACATGCATGCATGCGTATGTGTACTCTCTCTCTCTCTCTATATATATATATATACAAACAACTATATGTGTCTATCGGAGAGGGATACAGAGAGTGTCTGCATGTGTATATATAGACGCACATACATGTGTAGGTGCATGCATACAGAAATGCATGCGTACCAAGATGGTCCATACATACATGCCTACATACATACGTGCACACGCAAAGACTATTGTCTAAAAAGCGGTGCACGCAGCACGTCACTCCATCCTCACCCGTATTTTACGCGGATAAAAAGTCTACTCCAAAGCTCCTTTCAGACCACCGCT